GCCCTGGGCCAAAGGCAGGCGCCAAACCGCTGAGCCATCCAGGGATCCCCACTTTCTTCTTTTTTAATAGATCAGTTAAATGCATTACTTCCAGGCACTCTTTTTTTTTTTATAAGAATAGTTTCGTTTGTTTTTTTAAGATTCTATTTATTTATTCATGAGATACACAGAGAGAGAGGCAGAGACATAGGCAGAGGGAGAAGCAGGCTCCATGCAGGGAGCCCGACAGGGCACTCGATCCTGGGTCTCCAGGATCCCACCCTGGGCCAAAGGCAGGCGCTAAACTGCTGAGCCACCCAGGGATCCCCAGGAATAGTTTTTTTGTTGTTTGTTTTTAAAGTATGCTCTAGTCCAATGTGGGGCTTAAATTCATGACCTTGAGGTCAAGAGTCACATGCTCTACCAACTGAGCCAGCTAGATGCCCCTCTTTCAGGAACTCTTAATTTATACTGGGGTGCCAGACTTAGTCAGAAGAGCATACAACTTTGGATCTTGGGATTTGAGTTTAAGCCTCACGTTGGGTATAGAGATTACTAAAAAAAAAAAAAAATCTTAAACATTGTAGCATCATTCATTAAAAAAATAGTTTATACAGTCTAAATTACTAGTAATTTTAGTGAATTTAAATCAGTCTTAGGGCAGCCTGGGTGGCTTAGCGGTTTAGTGCAGCCTTCAGCCCAGGGCATGATCCTGGAGACCTGGAATCAGGTCCCGCGTCGGGCTCGCTGCATGGAGCATGCTTCTCTTTCTGCCTGTGTCTCTGCCTCTCTCTCTTTCTCTGTGTCTTAAATAAATAGATAAAATCTTTTCAAAAAATAAATAAATGTCTTAGCCACTGAATTAAACTTATTTTATTTTAGTAATAAATAAAGGAGGAAGAGAATAGAATTAATCATTTTTAGAGCAAATAAGAATTGTGTGTAGGGGGCACCTGGGTGGCTCAGTCAGTAGGTTAAGTGTCTTCCTTCTGCTCAAATAATGATCCCAGAATCCCCAGAATAGAGTTCCAAGTCACGCTCCCTGCTCAGTGAGGAATCTGCTTCTCCCTTCCCTCTGCTCCCACCGCCCCCCCAATAAATAAATACAGCCCCCTTTTTTTTTTAAGAGCTGTATGTAAGCTCTTCTTTTAAGGTACATTGAAGCATCAGAATTGTTTTGTATGTGATGTCAGTTTATTGGCTCATCTGGAAATAGTTATTACAATTACATTGGGGAATATTTTTTTTTAATTTTTATTTATTTATGATAGTCACACACAGATAGAGAGGCAGAGACCCAGGCAGAGGGAGAAGCAGGCTCCATGCACCGGGAGCCCGACATGGGACTCGATCCCAGGTCTCCAGGATCGCGCCCTGGGCCAAAGGCAGGCGCCAAACTGTTGCGCCACTCAGGGATCCCACATTAGGGAATTGAGTCAAAAATAATATACTGTGGGGCACCCAGGTGGCTCAGTGGTTGAGCATCTGTCTTCAGCTCAGGTCGTGATCCCGGGGTCCTGGAATCGAATCACACATCGGGCTTCCTACTTCTCCCTCTGCCTGTGTCTCTGCCACTCTCTCTCTCTGGGTCTCTCATGGATGGATGGATAAAATCTTTAATAAAAATAATATACATGGGGATCCCTGGGTGGTGCAGCGGTTTAGTGCCTGCCTTTGGCCCAGGGCGCGATCCTGGAGACCCGGGATCGAATCCCACGTCGGGCTCCCGGTGCATGGAGCCTGCTTCTCCCTCTACCTGTGTCTCTGCCTCTCTCTCTCTCTCTGTGACTATCGTAAATAAATAAAAAATTAAAAAAAATAAAAATAAAAATAATATACTATGAAAATGTGTGTGTGAGAAAGTGTTTTTAAGTGTCATGATTCAAGTTTTTCTTGCATTGTGGCACTTCCCATCCACCAGACCTTAACATATAGAAAAACATTGCAATATTCATCTGTAATTGCTGTTAACCTTGAATCATAATATGTATAAAAAGATAAGTCTAAATTCCAGTCCGTTCATACTGTTGGACTTATATTCATAGTTATGAATCTTATACTCTCTGGAGTATAAAGTTTGATAGTATGAATCCTTGGACCTTTTAATCTAAAAAGTACAGTTTTTTCTGGGTACAAATTAAGTAAAAATAAGATTCTTTATTATTTGATTATACTGATGTGTAAGCTACTTTTTGTAACCACATTCTAATATCTGACAAAACTGACCTTTATAGTAGAATTACCATTAAGTGTAGCATTAGTTTGAGTTTATGCAATTTTTTTTTAAATATTTTATTTATTCATGAGAGACACAGAATGAGAAGCAGAGTCAGGCAGAAGGAGAAGCAAGCTTCTCTCAGGGAGCCCAATGCAGGGCTGAATCCCTGGACCCAGGATTATGCTCTGAGCTGAAGGCAGCGCTCAACCACTAAGCCACCCAGGTGTTCTGAATTATGCAATTTTAAAAGCATTTTTATATTCTTTAACTTTTTAAAAGATTTTTATTTATTTTATTTAAAGAGAGATTGTAAGGGGGACGGAGAGAGCGTGGAGCCCACTGTAGGGCTTGATACCAGGACCCCAAGGTTATGGTCTTAAGTCAGATGCTTAATTGCCTGAGCCACCCAGGCACCCCTCTTTAATGTTTTCTTAAATAAAATAATGATTGTCTCACTATTAAATTTTGTGGTTGCCTGCTTACTCAACATTCTTAAAAATCATTGCTAGTGACTTTTTTAAATGGCTAATTATCCTTGAAATAAAACAGTAATTTCTTTATTCTGGTATCATTCTAGTCTTTTGAATTAGTTTTCTGTTTTAATAATTCTGCTTAGGAGATTATGGAAAGAACTTAAAAATGGACTTGAGGGATCCCTGGGTGGCGCAGCGGTTTGGCGCCTGCCTTTGGCCCAGGGCGCGATCCTGGAGACCCGGGATCGAATCCCACATCGGGCTCCCAGTGCATGGAGCCTGCTTCTCCATCTGCCTATGTCTCTGCCTCTCTCTCCTTCTCTCTCTGTGACTGTCATAAATAAATAAAAAAAATTTAAAAAAAAAAATGGACTTGAAAGTCATTTTGTATTTTGCAGATAGGTGGAAACTATGGGGTGTTTTTTCTGCCTTTTTTTTTTTAATTTTATTTATTCATGACAGACAGAGAAGCAGAGACATAGGCAGAGGGAGAAGCAGGCTCCACGCAGGGAGCCCAATGTGGGACTTGATCCAGGGACTGGAATCACGCCATGACCCAAAGGCAGATGCTCAACCACTGAACCCCTGAGGTGTCCCTCTTTTCTGCTTCTTTAATTTACAATAAAGCAGCCAAGCTTTACTTAATCAGACCTCAACTACTTAGAACACCAGAAAAGAGGATAATTTTTATTTTTATTTATTTGATTGATTTAAAATTTTTATATTTATTTATAGATTTTATTTATTTATTCAGGGGGTGGGGAGAAACACAGGCAGAGGGAGAAGCAGGCCCAGGCCCTATGCAGGAAGCCCGATGTGGGACTTGATCCCGGGACTCCAGGACCAGGCCCGAGCTGAAGGCAAAAGTTGATGCCAGAAAGTCTGCACTCTACAACTTATTCTAAAAACTTTATTTATCAGAAAACCTCTTCAGTTTTCAGAGCCTGAAATAGGTTTAGGAAGGTTGGCTGATATTTTCTGCTACTTAGCAACTTAGAGGCAGCAAGAATATATGTACATGGATAGCAGTAAATGGTAACATATGATAGGGAAGGGAGAGTAAAGATTATTAAAAGCCAATACTGAGACTTGAAAGCATAAGAGTCTAGTCAAACTTAACATCTGTATGACATCTGTTGCATAAAGAAATGACTATATGATGGGGAATGTGTGTAGCTTACATATCCACCCATCCATAGTTAGGATACTTAACTCATTAATACATGATTGAATTATATATAGTAGTATAGGATAACTTGAAGAAGATAATGTTCTTTTAAAAAATAAATAAAAATAAAAACAATTCATTTTTAAGTGTTTACTTAGCTAAAGATTTCCTTATGGAACGGATCCCTTCATTCTCCTTGGCCTGATATTTGAGATACATAAAACTTCACATAATTTTAAGATAATAGGAATATCCAACTTAAATTTAGCTTTTGTGTTTCTTCAACAGACAGCTGGAAATGATCCATATTGTTTTGTGGAGTTTTATGAGCATCGTCATGCAGCTGCAGCGCTAGCTGCTATGAATGGGCGGAAGATAATGGGTAAGGTAAGCTGTCATATTTAAAGAAGGTGACTTGGAAAATTCTAAGTTGTATGTGGTTTTGTTTACCATTGATTGATTAATTGTGCACACAAGCAGGGGTGGTGAGGAGATCAGAGGGAGAAAGAATCCCAAGCAGGCTCCACACTCAGTGCAGAGCCCAACATGATCTCACAACCCTGAGATTGTGACCTGAGCTGAAATTAAGAGCCAGACACTTAACCAGCTGAGCCACCCAGGCACCCCCAATTTTGTTTACCTTTTAGAAGCATGCATTATATTCACTTTATAGAAAAAGGTCACATTTAATATTTAAAGATGGGATAAAGCTTTTAGAGGCCATGTTTATGTTGATATTCTTCATGATGCCACACACAGTAAATACTAAAATAGTTATTGAATTACTCAAGCTTGGATGAAACATCTAAAACTTTGGATGCTAATGGGGAAGAATAAAAAGAAATGACTGTTACTTTAGGTAAGAAAGGATAGTTGAATGTTAACAGAAGTATGTAAGATGTGGATTTGCCAACATTTGAGTAAGTGTAGGTTAAAAGATAGGTATTGAAACTTTGGCCAGAACTAGTATGCTCTTGAGTGTTCATCTCCAACATATACCTTCCTATGTGTTTATAGATGCAAATCTTGTAATACCTGATTTTGAGCTTTATTTTTGTTGAGTATAAATGTAGAAACCTTTTTTTAGGAAGTCAAAGTGAATTGGGCAACAACCCCCAGCAGTCAAAAGAAAGATACAAGCAGTAAGTATATTTTATGCTCTTTGAACATTTTTTTTTATTGTACACAGTAGTTTTATTGTAAAGCATATAAACATCATACATGTTTGCAGTAATGTTTTGATCGTTATCCTAAGATATGATTGAATGTGTTTGTGTTAATAAATTTAAGAACAAATCTAATCTTTGTCATCAGGTAGTACCGTTGTCAGCACACAGCGTTCACAAGGTAATTGTATCTTCTTAAACATAAAATGAAATCTCTTGAAAGGGTATTCACTAACCACTTGAAGTTTTTTTGTTTGATATTGGGGGGAGGTGGGAGGGAGGAGGTCATATTTCTATTTGTCTCTCTGGCAGTATATTTCCCCCTTCTTCCCAGTGTTGACCAAATGTGGCTTGTCCACGATAGTGCTATTTCAAGCTCTCTGACCCCCTTGGTAGCAACTGATGCCTTAGAAATAATTTCACCAACTAAAGGTGAAATTTCACCAACCCCTGCTTCCTTGAGGTCACGATCTGTGCTTCATACCAGATCTTCCGATTGGATTGCTTGAGGTGCTCCTGAAACTGTGTTTCTCAAATGGCAACCCAGTATGTTGCTTAAGGCCTGCCAAATGGGGGTAACTTTTCCAAATATACTTTGTCAAAGTTGATATATGTGTTCCTTTTAAAGTGTTGATCCAACTATTTTGTATTTTTTTAAATGTTTCTTTTTTTGAACGTTGTCCTTTAAAAAAAAAAAAACTTCACATATGGGATCGTTATTTCTCTCCAATGCTTTTTTGATGGTCTGATATAAAGTGAAGGGATTACTGTTTTCATTCTGTTGCCTTCAGTCTTAGTTCACTTGCACATGGATTCACATAAACTGAATGGTGTAATGTCTGGGCAACCAAAACTGTTGGCTTTTGAGAAAACTGTCAAATACTTTAACATCAAACTGTTGCAATGCAAGGTATTTCTTTGATTGTTCTTCACAAAATATGGTTAAACCAAGTATATCATGTAGCTAGCTTCAGCAAATTGTCTTAACTGAGGCAAATCTAGTCTACATAACTCACAATACCACTATTTTATTTTAATTTTAAAACTCTAGTGGTAAAGTGGATAAATGTAAATAATCACTATTAAAATGGTAATTAAGTATAATTTTTAACAATACTTTTTATGTATTATTAGTTTATTTTCTTAGACCAGTATAATAATTGGCTGTAAGTAGAACTATAACTGTCAGTTTCCAGTTAGATATATCAGTCTTAAAGAGAATCTTTCCTATATTATCACCTTCATTCATTATGTGTAAAATTGATAGAATTTGTATAGATATAGGATAGTATTTTACTTATACTTTATTTAATCCATAAATTAAGATTATTTTACTGAATAGATTTTAGTGTATTTTAAATTCTAAAATATTATTTTTCTTTTCACTTCCCCCTCCTTCCCCTTATAAGATCATTTCCATGTCTTTGTTGGTGATCTCAGTCCAGAAATTACAACTGAAGATATAAAAGCTGCTTTTGCACCATTTGGAAGAATATCGTAAGTAACAGAAGACAAATTTAAACTGATTTTAATTAGAAACAGTCTTATGTAGAAGTAATATGAAAATCTATTATGAATTTTAACCCTTAAATATAATTCGTTATATTGTTTAGAGACTTTTTAAGCCGTTACCAGCCAAAGATTGTTTTCCCATTGATAAATCTTTGGTCTTTGATTATTTTAAAATCCTTTCTCAGGTTAGTGTTAGCTCTTAGGAGACAAATCTGCTATTGTACATATTGTTTCTTATGTGTCTTGCTTAGCTTGGTCATAATCTTTAGTAACCTTGTGGTGTGACTAAGGAATTTAGACCATTGTGGGGCATTTCTATGATACCATGCATTTAGTTTTAATATATTTTAACAAAAAGAAACCTTAACAATTCAACATAAAAAAAGCAGTTGTTAAATGTTAGTCCTCAGATATCTACCCTTTTGTTATTGTTGTTACTGTTAATAGTAATGCTTTTCAGTATTTTGTGGAGCAGTGTCTTGCTTGCATTTGTTATTATTATTTTTTTAAGATTTTATTTATTTATTCATGAGAGACACAGAGAGAGGCAGAGTCACAGGCAGAGGGAAAAGCAGGCTCCATGTAGGGAGCCTGATATGGGACTCCATCCCGGGTCTCCAGGATCACGCCCTGGGCCAAAGGCAGGCACCAAACTGCTGAGCCACCCAGGGATCCCCCTGCATTTGTTATTAATCGTACAGTTTAGGCCCATTGTAAATATCTCACGCTAGATAGTGTTCATCATAAAAGAACTTTAATTGAAAAGCATGCCATAGTAGAGTAAGAATAAGTCGATTATAATATTTTCTTAGAAGTACTTGTTGAATTTAGAAAACAGGATATTTGGGTTTCTGGTTGCTTTTTTATTGTTGTTCCAGCTAGAAGAGTAGTAAAAAGGAAACTTTAGCTTTGGTTTGGTTTGAGGAACAGACCAACAGCAGAAAAAGAAGGTGAGGAAAGGCTGGAAAGTAAATCCCAATAGTATTGGTGGTAAATTTGAGGAGTTTTCATCTGAAGAGTTGTAATTCACTGGTAGGAGGATGAAAATAAATAGTGACCAGGGAATGGTCATAAGTAAGGGGCCAGCTTTAAAGTCAGTCAAAAGATTAGGGTTATAAATGGACTCTTCTTTTAGGTGACATTTTTCTTTGTGAGAACTGATTAGGAAAATAAGTAAAGTTCTAGTTTCTTGATTGTTCCTTTTGATTGGTCTTAGGGTTTTGATGATGGTTAGCTTGCTTTCAGATACCTAGACTGGAAAGTATTAACCTTTGGCCTCTCGGAAGCTGTGTAAATCTCTGTATACAAAATTTTGTTTGTTTACATTTTGGTATGGAGTATCTTTGTAAGTTTTATCCTATTTTCAGAGTAGTCACAGGACCATAAAAGGATTAAAGAAGGATTAAAGAACCCTGATCTAGATCTTTGCTGCTTCTTCCTTAGAGAATGCTTTCAGAAATAAGTAAGACTTAAATATATTTCAAGGCTAACATATCCTGAAACTTAACTTTAAGAAGAAAAAGATTTTCTAACATTTTAACAGACTCAGTAGCTATTTTATTTAAATGCTTTGATTTTGATTACAGTAGCTTTTCTGAAAACATGGAGATTTTAGTTTGGGATTAGATAAAGAATATTTTAATAATCAATGAGCTTAAGTTAAATGACATTCCAATTTTAATAATGACTTTTTAATCATGGATCAGTAATTTCTTTTTGTTAAATATGTTGGTATCATAATTATAGCCTAGATTTTCTTATGATTGACCATGATTACTATTGTATATATATTTTTGGTAAGGCTTTTTTTTATAACTTACAATTTATAGATTATAATTTTCAGTTGAGGTAATGTATAATGTATAAGTTTTAGGCTACCCAAGGAGTTAGTGTTTCTAAATTTAAAAGAATCATTTTCAGTTGGTAGCATCATTTTCTGATTTTTTTTTTGTTAAAGGAGATAAATTAATAATTATATATTGAAAAATTCCCAGAATAGTCATATTCTCTGTAGAGATCCTGCAACAGTACTTAATTTATAGATGGTATGCAGTAAGTGGTGGCCTATTAAAATATTTAGTATAAAAAATGTAGTACTTTCTTACCCTAATTTATACAGTTTTATAAGCTATTCCTTGAGCTTTAGGATAGTCTAATAAATTTTGGTATAGAAGTGAATCAGTTACCACATTAAATGCATGTGTACCATACCGATAATTAAGTATTTTTTTGTATTGAGAAGTGACTTGCATTAGTTTTCCCTTTCACCACCACCTCTTTGTCATTTTGACCCTAAACACTTAATAAATCACTCCTAAATTGAAATATGCTTATGTATACTATAAAATTATATTGCATGGCTTTCTGACTTGGGTTTTTGTTGTGAAAGTGCCTGTTTTGTTCATGTGTCCTGAGAGAACAAGCATTGTGACATACCTGGCTAACTTAAAAGCAGATTGCCTGTGAAGCACAATTTGAGTCCAATTTTTTGAGGTATGGAGTTTTAGCTATCATGGCTGGGTTTTTTTACTCAATCTCAAATAATAGGGCTCTGGTTATTTTGCAGAGTATCTCTGAAGAATGGACAGAATTGCCCTGGCTAACTACAAGCTACGGTTCACAGTGGATAAATGTTGGCGTGCTTTTTTACTTTCTGACTTTTTAAAATTTGCTTTTATATCTTATAGTTTCCAATCAATCTTATATGATTGCTATTTTAAAATTCAGTATAAAATCTTTTCTTATATAGTTAAAACTAAAGTGTGTGTCTAGTGTGATTTAGCGTTTCTGAAAACATCAAGTTCTCAAAATTTACCCATAGTCCAAAAGGGGGGTGTATCAATTGATCTGAGAAAACAAAATAATTTAATTAATTTAGGAAATATACAGCTTTTTATTCTCTTAGTTTCCAGTTTTCTATTTTAATTTTTTAATGATTAGGTGGTATATAGTGTCAAATAGAAACTTATAAATTGCATGGTTAAAGAAAGCCATTCATCTAATGTGCCAGTGAACCCTATAAATGGTTAAGTAATTTCATATGAATAGCTGCTTTTACCATGCTTAATATTTAAAAGTTTAAAAACTTTTTGAAGTGGGCAGCAGTTTTTGTACAATATATACATCATATATATCTAAGAAGTTATTGATTTGCATGTTTATTAAGCCTCATTTGCTAATACATGATAAATTTTATAGAATAAAAGGTGAATGTGCACTAAAGGTTCATTTTAATGAAGATGAAACATAAAAATGAGTTGTGTATGACATTCTCATTTGATATCCAGAAGAGAGTTTGCAAACCTAAACTTGTGATTATTTCTGATTTCAGAGATGCCAGAGTGGTAAAAGACATGGCAACAGGAAAATCTAAAGGATATGGCTTTGTCTCCTTTTTCAACAAATGGGTGAGCTTAATTAAAAAATACATGAATTGTGCTTTAAGAGTAAAGAATAAAGATAATCATTTTGTTTTAGTAATTATCTTTCATCTTCCATTTGGTCATTTCACTGATAATTAACACTTTGACAAGAGGATATCTTTTTTCTTCTGTTCGGTCATTTATTCAGCATTTATTTAGCACCTGATGCATGAAAAGTACTGATAAAATGTATTCAGAATATAGAAAGTAGAGATGTTTAAATTATTAAAGGTAGGTTTTGAAAATCTCATTTATGTATTTAATTCATTATCTCCCTATTTATATTCTCAAAGTTTATTTTTTTTTAAAGATTTTATTTATTAGAGAGAGAGGCAGAGACACTGGCAGAGAAGCAGGCTTCATGCAGGGAGCCCGATGTGGGACTCGATCCCGGGACTCCAGGATCACGCCTGGGCTGAAGTCGGTGCTAAACCGCTGAGCCACCCAGGGATCCCCTATCAATTGGTTCCTATATAACATGTTTTACTAAATTATTTTATTTGTAGTAATTTTCCATTGGTTCTTGGGAGTTTTTAAAATATAAAAGCCATATTACCTGCAAATCCATATCTTTGTGTTTGTTTTTAAAGATCTTACTTATTTATTCATGAGAGACACAGAGAGGCAGAGACACAAGCAGAGCGAGAATCAGGCTCCATGCAGGGAGCCCAATGCGAGACATAATCCCTGGACCCCAGAATTACAACCCGAGCCTAAGGCAGATGCTTAACTGATTAAGCCACCCAGGCACCCCTTGAACATTTTCTGTACATATAATTGAATATAATATGTTCTTTGCTATTCCCTTGTCCTGTGTCATCAGTCTTTCCCTCTCGAATGGGTCATTCCCATCAACCAAAAAACATGTTCTAGTATGTATTTTTTTTTTATTTTTTTTTTTATTTATGATAGTCACAGAGAGAGAGAGAGAGAGAGGCAGAGACACAGGCAGAGGGAGAAGCAGGCTCCATGCACCGGGAGCCTGATGTGGGATTCGATCCCGGGTCTCCAGGATCGCGCCCTGGGCCAAAGGCAGGCGCCAAACCGCTGCGCCACCCAGGGATCCCTGTTCTAGTATGTATTAATGAAAACCATGCTTGGGGTACCTGACTGGCTGAGTTGGCTCAGTTGTGAGATCAAGCCCCATGTTGGGTATGGAGCCTACTTTAAAAAAAAAAAGAAAAACAAAACCACAGGGCAGCCGGGGGTGGGGGGGTGGGGGGTGGGGGGTGGCTTAGCGCCACCTTCAGCCCAGGGCGTGATCCTGGAGACCCGGGATTGAGTCCCACGCCTGCTTCTGCCTCTGCCTCTGTCTCTGACTCTCTCTCTCTCTGTCTCTCTCTCTCTCTCTCATGAATAAATAAAATCTTTATTTTTTTTTTAATAAAATCTTTAAAAACACACACACACACTTGACCCCATATCCCTTTCCTACCTATCTCCCCATTTTACTGTAATTCACAGACTTCTCAAAAGCTGTGTTTCTGTGGCCCGCACTTTTTCATCTCCAATTGACAACCTTACATACACACACCCCATAAAAGATATTTTCCCTCTTTTGTGAGTAGTCTTTTTTTTTTTAAGATTTTATTTATTTATTCATGAGAGACCCACAGAGAGAGGCAGAGATATAGATAGAGGGAGAAGCAGGCTCCCTGCGGAGAGCCTGATATTGGACTCAATCCCAGGACACTGGGACCGCAACCTGAGCCAAGGGCAGATCCTCAACCACTGAGCCACCCAGGTGTCCATAAAGTACCCTTTTTGGTTTGTTTTATTTTATTTATTCGTGAGAGACACACAGAGGCAGAGACACAGGCAGAGAGAGAAGCAGGCTCCATGCAGGGAGCCTGATGTGGGACTCGATCCCAGGACTCCAGGATCACACCCTGGGCTGAAGGCAGACGCTAAACTTCTGAGCCGCCCAGGGATCCCCTTTTGTGAGTAGTTGTATTTGTTTCCTAGGGCTGCTATATCAGTACCATAAGCTGAATGACTTAAAACAATAGAAATTTGTTCTCTCAAAGTTCTGGAGGTAGAAGTCCAAAATCAAGTTGTCATCATGGCCACGTTCTCTCCCAAGGTTCTGTGGAAGAACTCTCCCTTCACAGTTTCTGACAGTAGTCAACCATCCTTTGTATCCTTGGCTTGTAGCTACATCATTCCAGTCTCTCCTTTTGTCTTCACATGGCCTTCACCCTATTTGTGTCCACATTGTCTTCTTAAAAGGTCGTCATACTGGATTTAGGGCTCTTTAATCTAGGATGATCTCATCTTTTTTTTTGTTGTTGTTTTTAAGTTTTACTTATTTTTGAGAAAGTGTGTGCACGAGTCGGGGTAGGGGCAGAGAGAATCCTCAAGGAGACTCCCTGCTAAGCATGGAGCCTGACGTTGCAGGGCTTGATCCTACAACCCACAAAATCACCACCTGAGCTGAAACCAAGAGTTGGATGCTGAACCCACTGTGCCAGCCAGGTGCCCCTGGGATGATCTCATCTTAACTAATACATCTGTTTCTAGTTTGGATCACATTCACAGTTGGGGGCAGATGGTAGTTAGGACTTTATGTCAGAGATGCCTGGGTGGCTCAGCAGTTGAGCATCTGCCTTCAGCTCAGGCTGTGACCCCGGGGTCCCGGGATGAGTTCTGTATCGGGCCCCCACAGGGAGCCTGCTTCTCCCTCTGCCTGTGTCTTTGCGTCTGTCTCTCTCATGAATAAATAAATAAAAATTTTTTTTAATTTTTATTTATTTATGATAGTCACACAGAGAGAGAGAGAGAGAGGCAGAGACATAGGCAGAGGGAGAAGCAGGCTCCATGCACCGGGAGCCCGACGTGGGATTTGATCCCGGGTCTCCAGGATCGGCGCCCTGGGCCAAAGGCAGGCGCCAAACTGCTGCACCACCCAGGGATCCCCAATAAATAAAATCTTAAAAAAAAAAAGGACTTTAATGTCAATTTAAGGTACATAATTCATCCCACAACAGTAAATATGTCATGGAATTCAAACTGATAAGTAAGGTAAACAGTGTTTGTTTCTTTTTAAGCATATGCGTTTCCGGGCAGCCCTGGTGGCCCCAGCGGTTTAGCGCCGCCTTCAGCCCAAGGTGTGATCCTGGAGACCTGGGATCTAGTCCCACATCGGGCTCTCTTCATGGAACCTGCTTCTCCCTCTGCCTGTGTCTCTGCCTCTCTCTCTCTCTCTGTGTCTGTCATGAATGGATAAATAAAATCTTTTAAAAAAAAAAAAAAAGAAGAAGAAGAGACCGCTTAAAAAAAAAATTTCCTTTTTATGTGTCTCAAGAATGGCCTTAACCTTGAATTTGCCTGTTTTCTCCTGGTAGGTTCTAAGCCCACATTTGACATACATAAATCAGAATTGCAGCCCATTTACTTTTCAGTCCACCATAAGCTGGCTTTTGTTCTCATTCTGAACAAACAGCTAGGATACTACCACACTACTCATTTCAAGTTTATCACTAGGTTTCTGCTTCTTTGGCTCTGTAACAGTACACTTCTGGGATTTCTTCCTTTATCGTTGAAAACAATTTTTTAGTCACCTTCTCTAGTAGTTTTTCCTTTACTCGGTTTTCAGATTTTGCTCTTTTTCCAGGATTCTTCTTTTTCTCTCTAGTCTTTCCTCATAACTCTGAAATTCCTATCTCCAATTCACTTTATTTCTTTGTGCTCCATATTTAACAATGATTTTCATTTAGATGTCTTAGAGACATCTCAAACTTAATGTATCCTTAATGGGGTTCTTTGTTTCTTCCTCAGACCTGTTTTCCTCCTCCCTCCTGGGTTTCCAGTTTCAGTAAATGCTAACTAACACTATCCTCCCTGCTGCCCAAGAAGGAACATAGGAGTTATCTTTGATTTCCTCCCCTTTTACTTACTGTGCATCACCACAATTCATGAGTCTTCCTATAGGTAATATCCACTGCTGTGGGTATTGCTTTAGTCTCAAAGTGTCTTTTTCCTCTTATTACCCTTTTCCCTAAACCATTCCCTTTCTAGCGCTAATTATGGCCTTGTTAAAACATAAATCAAATCATGACAATCTCTAACTTAAAATCTTTTAGTTTTTTCCTCTGGCACCCATTTTAGCTCACTGGATTCCACTGAAACTAATTGTATTGACCATGCTTTTTTCATAGGACGCTTGGGTGGCTCAGTGGTTGAGAGTCTGCCTTTGACTCAGGCCGTGATCCTGGAGACCCAGGATCGAGTCCCACAGTGGCCTCCTGCATGGAGCCTGCTTCTCCCTCTGCCTATGTTTCTGCCTCTCTCTCTCTCTCTCTCTCTGTGTGTGTGTGTGTCTCATGAATGAATAAATAAATAAAATCTTTAAAAAAAAAAAACATGCTTTTTTCAGATACATACCAAATCTTTCCTGCCATAATGCACTTTGCAAAGCTTTTCTCTACAAGGGCTTCCTTCCCTAATGTTTTCACTTAGCTAGCTCCTATTCCTCTCAGTTTCAACATAAATAATATATTTCAGAGAGACCTTCTCTAATTATGCTAAATTAGATCCCAAAGCCCATGTTCTCTGTCATCCTTTTGTGTCTGTCATGGCATTTACCACAATTTGTGATGTTTATTGTGGCCCCAAAAGAATGTCAGCTCTGGTACCAGAGACCATGTCTGTCTCATCAGTTGGTGAATTCTTAGTGCTTAATCTGCTGCCTAGAACATGATAGCTATTTAGGGTTTACTTGTAGAGTGAATGAAAAACCAAATACTGTCATTAGTTTGTTGGATTGTGTAAAGTGAGATTTTGCATCCATAATAATTATTACATGAACTTTATAGTAGTTATAATAAGGGCTTTGAGGTAATTAACATTCCCAAAGTCTGATACCCAAATGAAAGATAATTTAAAAGCACCGTTGCATTTTAGGAAACATATCATATATGGTATATTTTATACAGCATTTTCATTCAGTAGAGATTTGCGAAAAGCAACTGAATTTTCTCTACTGCTAATAGTCTGTCAACATCAATTAATGGTGGCTTCTTTGTCATTTCTAATGTGCGGAACAGGATGCCGAAAACGCCATTCAACAGATGGGTGGCCAGTGGCTTGGTGGAAGACAAATCAGAACTAACTGGGCAACCCGAAAACCTCCAGCTCCAAAGAGTACATATGAGTGTAGGTGTATTGGAGAAGAAAAGGAAATGTGGAATTTTGGAGAAAAATACACTAGATTTTAAATGTTAGAGCTGTTCCCGGAGACTTTTTGCAGAAATAGATGAGAAGCAAATCAAGACTACTGTTCAAAATGTACTTAGTTTTCATTTTTGTAATCTTAAATAAATGATTATCTCTAATGTCAAGTCTCCTATTAAATAGAGAATATTAAGTAATTTTTTTAGATATTGTTGGGGGTGTTTAATCCTCAAATGTATTATGTGTTACATAAGCATTTTAGTCAAGGTAAAAATTACCATTACAGTAGTGTAATTGATGCTGCTTTTCTGTTTCTGAACATTTTATTTAGTGAATTTAAAATATTAAACTTTTCCCTCCTCAGCAAACACCAAACAGCTATCCTATGATGAGGTTGTAAATCAGTCTAGTCCAAGCAACTGTACTGTATACTGTGGAGGTGTCACTTCTGGGCTGACAGGTATGGAAACCTTAACTGTATGGCACCTTGAGGATAATTTTTTAACTGAATGCTTGATGTTTATAGGATTTTATTATAACTTGGTGTGGTTTGTTTTTGTATTTTGTCTAACAGAACAACTAATGCGTCAGACTTTTTCGCCATTTGGACAAATAATGGAAATTCGAGTCTTTCCAGATAAAGGATATTCATTTGTTCGGTATGAGTAGTTTAAAAAACAAAACAAAACTTTTTCCCCCCCAAAATCATTTTGAATATTTATTTAACTTAGTAGTTTTCTTAAAAATTTACCCTGGCTTAAAAAAAAAAAGGAAAAAGAAAAAAATTTATCTTGGATAAAAAAAATAGAAATTTCTCTAGCATTTAGCAGTATTTGCCGCTGTTTTTTTAATGGCTCCCTCCTTATAACCACAAGATCAATAAGACATTCTCTATTAAAAACAAACAAAAAAGACATTCTCTATTAAAATAAATTTCTCCAGAACTACAAGATTTTTGAAAAAATTACAAAGAAAATAGACATCTTAACATGTTTATTTGTGTGAACTGCCTGTTTACCTCAGGCTCAGCTTGATTTTTAAAAATAAGTTTTATTCATAAGTAAACAGTTTATATTGGTGATTCTTAATATTGTTTTCAATAGGTTCAATTCCCATGAAAGTGCAGCACATGCAATTGTTTCTGTTAATGGAACTACCATTGAAGGTCATGTTGTGAAATGCTATTGGGGTAAAGAAACTCTTGACATGATAAATCCTGTGCAGCAGGTGAGAGGGTTCTTGACTTTGGACAGTAATTGCTGGGGTGATAGTAGGTTATTTTAAAATGAAATTATTGATAATCCTTGTTAATAGTTTCTAGCTAAAATGATAATACATTAAGGGCTCTTAACATTTGGTAGATTTATTCACATACTATTTGGAAACTCACAAATGTGTTTGATTCAGTTGAAACAAAAGCTATAAATATATTTAGAACCTTGGCATTTTCTTCTAGATTTTGCTACTTTTGTTTTTCCAGGCAGCTTTACTGGTTTAAATGTGAACCCATAAAAATTTCTGTGAGGGGATGCCTGGGGTGGCTCAGTCAGTTAAGCATCTGACTCTTGATTTTGGTTCAGGTCATGATCTCAGGGTGATGAAATCAAGCCCCAGCTCTGTACTGGGTGTGGAGCCTGCTTAAGATCCCCTTTCTTGCACGTTCTTGTGCTTTCTCTCTTTAAAAAAAAATTCTGTGAAGAAACTGTAAATGGAGCGCAGACAGGCATAAGAAAATCTAAACTATATAAGCTATGTGGAATAAGTAATCTTTTATATCTTCCCTTTCTATTTTAGTTACAAAACACTGAAACATTGTACAGTTTAATATTTATTATGGAGACATTACCTACTGCCTTATAAAGAGTGTGTCATGTAGAGCATCACTTAGAGAGTTACATCAGTATAACCTCACCTTTTTTTTTTTTTTTAAGCATCCATCTTACAGACTCTTGTTTATCCTTTCATTTTAATTGCATTCATGGCCTTATATGTTATGGCTATATGTTTGTGGTATATTAGGACAGTATGTGTACATGTAACTTCAAATAATACTAAATTACCTGTTACGATTTTATTTAATAGCAGAATCAAATTGGATATCCACAAGCTTATGGCCAGTGGGGCCAGTGGTATGGAAATGCACAACAAATTGGCCAGTATATGCCTAATGGTTGGCAAGTACCTGCATATGGAATGTATGGCCAGGCATGGAATCAACAGGGATTTAAGTAAGCATATTTGCTCTTTTCCTTTATTATTAGCATTTGAAAAGTTAAGAACTTAGGAAGAGATTTTAAGTACTTGGTAATGTGGTCCTCTGTCTAAGGCAAGTTTCAGCCTTTGAAGGACTTAGTTTAGAGCTGTTTCTAATTTATAGTTTTAAGTATATTTCTTTAAAAATTGTCTGGAAATGAACTGCCCTGAGGCATAACCAATGTTAAAAGAATTTTGGTAATGCTGGATAATGAATCAACTAATACTTAAGGAAGAAAATGAGAGCTTAATAATTGCTAAGTTTTTTATGTGACCTCTGATCATTTAGCCATTCTTGGATACAGTTATTTTGATGCTAATTGTTTTATTCATTCTGCTTTTTTTTTTTCTGTGCTAAAGGGTTGGTTTATACATTAATATATATATTTATACATTAATATGGATACTTCTTGTAACAAGTTTGTGCCCCATGTTAGTGTAGCATTTACTTAAAAATAAAATATTTAAAAAATATATAAGTGAAAGAACCTTATTTGTAATGTTGAAAAATATTATGAGCTTACATATGCTAATAATTGTTTTAATTTCTTCTTTGAGTAATATAACTGGCAGTCTCTATTGTGCCAAATGATAAGTTTCTTTCAGGTAGTGGTTTGTTCAGTGTACGTCTAACCCAGATGCACAGTTTTCCTTTCTGAGGTTAGAAATGAGTATTTTCTGAATTCAAAGGGAATAAATGTTTACAGGTAAAGGGGTTTTGTTTTTTCTTTTTTTAGCTATATTAAACTAACAAAAGTAAACTGTACAAATTAAACCTATGAGGATGCTTGTTTTTAAGAGAAAAAACTTTTGCCTTTGTTTTCCTTGGCATAACCCTTATTATTATATTTAGGCTTAAGTGTTTTTTCCATGTATAATGTTATTTTTTCTCGGCATTTTAACCAGTGGATTTCCCCTCCTCTCTGCTTCTTTCACATTTTCTACCAGTCAAACACAGTCTTCTGCACCGTGGATGGGACCAAATTATGGAGTGCAGCCACCTCCAGGACAGAATGGCAGCATGTTGCCTAATCAGCCTGCAGGGTATCGAGTGGCAGGGTATGAAACCCAGTGAAAAAGGACTCCATAATCTAAAGCCAGTGGCTTGAGGCTACAGGGAGTGTAGTAAAGCCGTTGTTTACTTAAAGATTTATCAAATCAGTCAGTGCAAATGTCAGATACAATGTATTTATTTAAAAGATTCATTTTTTAATCATGAAATTACTTATCATCCACATTGTTTTAAAAAGAAACAAGATGCTGGATGTCTGCCAATTTTTGCCTTCATTACCTTTTTTGATAAAGTTTCTCAGATCCTTGTTTCAAATACAAATGCAGGGATTGCTGCCACTTTTTTAAAAGTAAGAGGCAGAAAATTGCACAATGTTGAACTTTTTTCCACTAAAGTAGCGTGCAGTTCTAGTTTGCATTCCTGATATGATTTAAAACATGTAATATAAAGATGTTAAAAAAAATGAAGAACCAAAACTGTGCAGAGTCTAGAAGTTCTTTGTAATCTTCAGCTTGTGCACAATTCTGTTTTAGGGTTTTTTTTTTGTTTGTTTTTGTTTTTTTTAAGGCATTGTTTGAACTGTCCCATCCTCCACTGTTTTCCCTTTGGGGTTTTAAAATATAAATTATTAGTTTACATCATTTTTGTAACTACATTTTTCACAAATTTGTCTTGCCTTATTAAATTTCTGTAAAATATACTTAAATGGAAAAAAATGACGTTCACTTAGATTGAAAACTTTTCTCAGATGGATTGATAATTGCATTCATTTTGTGTTTTATATGAGAAGGTGCCTCAAGAATTCCCTCTTGGATTTGTTTAAAGGATTTTTATCTTCTGTGATAAACTTTGCTGTGTACCAGGAAATATAAAAACAAAAACTTGCTACTAAAGAAAATCTCTGAAATGTGAGAAGTTCTTATGAGCCCGTGTTAATTTCATGTGTCAACTTCTACATTTACGTGTATTGTTTCATTCTGTAAAATGTTTTAGCAATTTAATATTTTGCACAGTTAGCAAGCTTTGTATGTCATTTCCTTCTTAAAGGCATCATGCAGAGTTGACAGGAGATTTATAAGGTTTTAAGTTGTTTGCATGTGAATATCAAATACACACTTTGGTAGTCTTTGAATACAAAGTCATCTGCTCTTGTTTTTCAAGAATTTTGAGACACAAAGTTGTATGTAAAGGAATATGTTAATTTGCCATTTTCTAGTTATATTTACTCAAAAAGAGTAAATCAACTTAATTTTAATATGTACAAATGATAGCTGTGAAACTGTAGACTATCCTATATCAGGCTTGGGGTTCGTTGTGAACTTCAAAGTTAGCCTGAAGGACCAGCCGGGCAAAGCATTTTTTAAATGTTCAGAGGCCAAAAGATAAACAAAAAAAAAAAAAACCTTAAAATCCTACCTCCTTAAACAGCCTTCAAAGAGGAGAATCCTCAGTGCAATCATTATTTTTATTCTTTTGGTACCTGTTTTCCCGGAGTTCCCAATTTTATTATTTTGGGGTGGCTCCGAGCATTAAGAGGTTTAATCTTTGATGGCATTGTTCTAGTTTTAAAATTTCTAGTACATTTCAGAGTCTCTTAGAAGAGTCGTGGGAGATTTTGTTTTGTTTTCAGTGAAAGTCACAGAGTTCCTTCTTCCTTTACTCACAAAGGGGAAGAGTCCCCCATATACATATTTGGATGGTTTGTTGTTTTTAAGACCTTCAGAGAGCTCCTAGCATTTAGTAACAGAAAAGGCCTGTGAAATCTTAACGTTCCTGGCCTTGTCTCTTCCAGATAGGAGCAAATTAAGCTGGTCTCTAAAGCCAATATTCATGTAAACCAGAGCCCAGGAAAGACAGCTCATAAGTGTATAATTCTCTGGAGCTCAATTCTATGCAGTTGTACTGATGTTTAAGTCACTGTGTATTTTTAAGTGTTGATACATTAAAAGTTGCTTTATGGAAGATGAGTAAATTTTTTAAATACTCGGGAATTTTATTTCCTTGTTAACTTCTACAGATCAGGGCATGCAACCAGAAGCAGCTTAAATGAAATACTCAAAAATAAAATATCAGGAAGCTATTTTTCGATTCTTCTGGTTTATGTTTCTATTTTAGGACCCTCATTTTTCTTAGTCAAAAATATTTTGTTTCCTGTACATCTGTGGACTGCAGGGTAAATTATTTGGACATAAGTAATTTAAGCAAAAGTATAGTTTTCTTTGATTGACTGTCTCAAGTAACACTTATTAGCCAATATATTTTCTTATTGCACAAATCTTAAAGTGTACATTGACTACTTTTTGAGAAGAAAGTGGTATTTCTCAAAAAGTGACTACTGAACAAATTGACATTTCAGGAACATTGATAACTTTGGTTTAAATCTTACTCCTAGTGTTAAATCATTTAAAGATTTTTTTTTTTTTAGTCTAAAAATCATACTGGTTAGTATCAGGTAAGAAAATTAAAGTTTTAAAAATGGTTTCGTTCTCTGCAATATGCATTCAGATTTTACTATAAAATACATCTGGTACTGTAAAGAACCTGAAGTGATTAACACTTAATGGGTCGTTAATCCAGTATTCTTTGCCCTGACTGTTTGGATATTAAAGTTCCTTTATGTTTTCTATAACCTGTGGGATTTTCTTGCAGTGATTATTGTGTGTGAAAGATTTTTCTTTTTGGTCTAGCCATACTGTTATATTCACTCAGGTATTTGTTAGCTTTTTTTTTTTTTTAATCTTATTCCAGAAATCATGGTTTGCATTTGGTTACTGTTTAATACCACAAAGAATTGGCATTCTGTAGATTTATCTCATTACGAAACCAGGATCTCATTTTTCCTTGTTGATGCTATCTTCCTGTTGAAAATGAGTTACACATTCTAGTTTTATTCTCCTGTTTTGTCCCTGTGTTTGCTCATCTGCTTTTGTATGTGCGTTAGATTTCAGTGGACATTTGAGAAGGCAGTTGGTAGGGACTAGATTATATTTACAAAGAGAATTAGGTTTACTAAGTACTGTGGGGTGCTCTTGAGGTTATGGTTAAATCGGAAAAGTAAAATGTGTTTGTAGGAATGAAAAAGCAGACCTGGGCTTTTAAAGCAGTCCCTGTCTTTAGGGACACCTGGCTGGCTCAGTTGTAGAACATGTAACACTTGATCTTGGGGTTGTGAGTTCAAGCCCCACATTGAGTAGAGATAACTTTAAAACATGTACAACAGTGAAAGTGATGATTTCTAAGGTCAAAATCATTTTTTTGTAAAGAGTTATTCAATCTTTTCCAGTCACTGCATTTTGACTGTTGTATTTAGAACTATGAGAACCTGGGCAGCCCGGATGGCTCAGCAGTTTAGCGCTGCCTTCAGCCCAGGGCGTGACCCTGGGGACCTGAGATCGAGTCCCAGGTCGGGCTCCCTGCATGGAACCTGCTTCTCCCCCTGCCTGTGTTTCTGCCTCTCTCTCTCTCTCTCTCTCTCTGTCTCATGAATAAATAAATAAACAAAACCTTTAAAAACTGTAAGAACCTACCCTCCATAACAACACATTTTAATTTAAAAGCCTTAATAAAATGTTTATGAATGTGTCTCAGTTGAATAAGATTTTATATTAGGCCTCTGAAGTTGGAGGCAGCTGAAGTTGTTCTGATAGTAATTCAACTAAAAAAGGAAAAACTAGACCTCCAACTCAGGATTGCTAGGGTTGGAATAGTGATTAAGCACAATTTTACTAGGTTAATGAGATTCCTAGCCCATTATCCTTGTTCGGCTCTAAAATACCAATAGCCGCAATTGTGTAGATCATGTGGGCTTTGGAGGATCTTTATATGGAAAAAATAAACAACTTTTGTTTTTTTGTTTTTGTTTTAAGATTTTATTTATTCATGAGAGACGCAACACAGAGAGAGAGAAAGGCAGAGACCCAGGCAGAGGGAGAAGCAGGCTCCATGCAGGGAGCCCGATGTGGGACTTGATCCTGGGACCCGGGGTCACGCCCTGGGCTGAAGGCAGACACTCCACCACTGAGCCACCCAGGGATCCCCAAAGTAAACAATTTTTGAAGGAAAAGACAGATGCTGACATTTGATGGTCCCCACCAAAAAACTAGCTGGTCACCAATCCCCCCCACAGTGGAGAATTTCAGTCACTAAGCCCTGCTCACGTACACACGTTCTCCAAAGAGGTGTTCGGTGTTTCACTTTTAAATAAAGACAGCTAGTAGTAGTAGTGTTTTCAGAACTTTGAATTATATATCCGATGACACTTTATACACACATACACTATCATGGATGACCATAGAATAAACATTTTTAGACCTGCAACTTAGAGGATTTTCTTACTTGAATTCCCTAGTTCTCAGTTACTGGGTAAGCTCCATAAAAACGAGAGATCAAAATGTCTAGCAATGGGACCTGGTGTGGGAGTCCTGGAGAACAGCTGTGAAGTGATGTGGCAGCCAGTCCAGAATGATGGTCAGAGGGCTCAGGCTCAGCTTGGTCATCTGAGGTGTGGGCTACGTAGGTAATTAGAGAATGAGCCATTTTACACGGTGGAGGGTGTAGGAAGACTTGTGTTGGAAGAAAATCAGGCAAGTGACAAAAGGCAATTGTCAGGAGAAACATCCTTCCAGAAAGGAAACCACCTTCCCTTCCCGGGCCAGATACACATACTAAGGTATTTCAGAAGCTTTCCTGAATTACGTTAGAAAATATTTGTATTATTCCACTGCTTAGAATATTGTATGTTGGATTTCCTCTACCTATCTTCTGTTTCTGTCATTTGTTCTTAGTTCTTTTTATCTTTGTTTGCTTTTTCTCATTTCTTTTTTTTTAATTTTTATTTATTTATGATAGTCACACACACACACAGAGAGAGAGAGAGAGAGAGAGAGAGAGGCAGAGACACAGGCAGAGGGAGAAGCAGGCTCCATGCACCGGGAGCCCGACATGGGACTCGATCCCGAGTCCCCAGGATCGCGCCCTGGGCCAAAGGCAGGCGCTAAACCGCTGCGCCACCCAGGGATCCCAACTTTTCTCATTTCTAGTAACCCCCTTAACATGCTTCCTGTGGTCTCCAGATTCACTTGTGCCCCCTTTAACATAGTCTTCATTTCCGAAATGGTTTCTTTTAATCCCTTTCACCTGTTTCACACATCAACCCACTTGCCTCCCCTCTGGCAACCATCAGTTCTCTATAGTTAAGAGTTCAGTTTTTTTGGTTTGTCTTTTTTTGTTTGTTTCTTAAATTCCACATACAAGTAAAATCACATATAAGGCAAATCATTTGTGTTTCTGACTCCTTTCACATAGCATTATCCTCCAGATCCACTCATGTTGGCAAGTGGCAATATTCGTTTTCACAGCTGAGTAGCATTCATCATGTGTGGTGTGTGTGTGTGTGTGTGTTTACACGTGTGTACCACACATCTGTATCCATTGATATATCAAAGGGCACCTAGGCTGCTGCCATAGTTTGGCTATTATAAAAAATGCTGCAATAAACCCAGGAGGCATATATATTTTTTGAATTAATGTTTCCATATTCCTTGGGAAGAAACTTAGCAGTGGAATTACTGGATCATATGGTAATTCTGTTTTTAGTTTTTTGAGGAACCTCTATACTGTTTGCCACAGTGGCTTTACAATTTGCACTCCCACCAGCAGCGCATGAGGATTCCTTTTTCTCCACATTCCTTTTTCAACACATTCTCACCAGCACGTTTCCTGTGTTTTTTATTTCCACCATCCGGACACATGCAAGGAATTCTTCTATATCTTAGCTGCATTTGCTTCATTAGTGTTTTTTAATTCATGTTAGAATGTTGATATATTTGCAGCTGCTTTGTGGGAACATTCTTCATGTCTTTTCCCTAGGGAAACTAGGTAAGTTTTGCTATTTCATATTTTTTTTAATTCCATATTTTTAATTAGAGCATCTGCACAAGTGCCGTGTTTATTCATTTCTGCTTATTTGTATTTGAAACTGTTTGGAGAATGAAGGAGAGGAACCCCGTCCAGTTTTCTCACCTCCCTCTGACTACAATGAATTCCCTGTGCAGGCTCTCAGCTCCCTGGATTCCTTCATCTGCTACATTAAGACCTAATGCCTGTGTTCCAAGGAGATCCCCTGACTTGCTTTCTGAAAGACCTCTGGACCCCAGGCACTTTACACATCTCCCTCCCTTCTCCACTGCTCCCAGCACTCACACAGTTGTTCAGTCCTCACTGCAGTCTCCACGCAGGGTGAATATTTGCAGAGTGAGACCTGCCATCAGTATCCCACTCATCCCATTCTTGGTGCACTGCACTCTGGTGGCCTCCCATGCAGTACCACTCGGTGTGGAACTTGCAAGTTTTCTCTGCCCTCTTAGTGTCACCTAAGGTAGTGTTGGGGGATTAATGGTCCTATGTTTTCCTTGTTGCTCTCCATGGTTTCTAGGAGGGATAGAGAGACCCAGAACCAGGCTGTATAACCATGTATAAACATGGTTATACAGAATAAGAAGCTCAAAAGAATCTTTTAAACAAGTAAATTCGATTGTGACACACATACACACCCCTACTTGAAAGTTTTTGCTTCCAGTTGCATTTAAGATGTAATCTAAAGTCTTTAATAAGGAGGGCGCCTGGCTGGCTCAGTGGGCAGAGCATGAGATTTAATTTTGAGGTTGTGAGCTCAAGCCCCAGGTTGGGTGTGAAGATTAAAAATAAAATCTTTTTTTAAAAATTAGTATGGTCTGCATTGCTTTCTGTGCATTTTGTATTTTCCAACTTCACAGCAAGTCTCCACTTGCTAACTCTCCACTCTCCCCTAAGCCTTTCTGCTCCCCACTCCTCTCTTGAAGTTTCTTTCTTTTTTTTTTTTTTTTTTAGACTTTATTTTATTCATGAGAGAGAGAGAGAGGCAGAGACACAGGCAGAGGGAGAAGCAGGCTCCATGCAGGGGGCCCAACACGGGACTAGATCCTGGGTCTTCAGAAGGATCACATCCTGGGCTGAAAGCGGTGCTAAACCACTGAGCCATCCGGGCTGCCCTATCTTAAAGTTTCTTGAATAAGTAAACACTTCATGTCAGGAGACAGAGACCAACACTAAAACTTTGAAAAGGAAATTTTAATATAAATAGTTGCTAAATAGTAAGAGGTGGTTAACTACTAAAAGGGATAAAACAAGGACTGTTAAAGGGATCCAGAAGTTGCAGGTGAAAAAACCAACCAGCTACAGTGAAGGAACTGGGGGTTTAGGAGAGCCTAAAAGGGGACTTGGTTACCACAGAACGTGGAGCCTGGTGAAGAAACATGCCGGAGGGTGTGGGCCGGACCCGGTCCAGAGAGGTCCTTTGCTGTTGGCCAGAAAGCTCGAGCAGGTTGGAACTGGTCAATGGCAATGATCCACCTGTGAGGGAAGTGTCTTCCCACCACCATCTCCTCCCATTGTTCCCCAGTGCCCTCTGACCAAGCCCAACAGGGAGCCAACAGGCAAAAGAGATGTTTGGCAAAACGAAGCAAAGAAGGGTGGATTGGGAACGGAGACTCCTATCCTGGGGCCTTGCCACCTGAATCCCTTTCGCCTGCTTTGTCTTCAAGTCTCTACTTAAATGTCACTTCCTCTAAAAGGCATTCCTTTACCCCCCGATCGAAATCATAAATCGGTAGCTTCTCAGGCCATCTTACAAAGCTTTTCCTTTATACCATCTGTGATAATCTTTAATTAAATACAGTTGACCCTTGAACAATAATAGAGGTTAGGAACACCAACCCTGCTGCACAGTCGAAAATCTATGTATAATCTGACTTTCCCAGAGCAACTATTAATAAGCCTACTGTTGATTGGAAGACTTGCCAATAATATAGTTGATCAACACATAATTTTTAAGTAATAAATATATATTGTATTTTTAAAATAGGCCCCACACACACCATGGAGCCCAATGTGGGGCTTGAACTCCTAACCCTGAGATAAAAGATCTGAGCTGAAAGGAGTCAGGCACTTAACCTACTGAGCCATCCAGGTGCCACTACATTCTATTCTTACAACAAAGAAAGCTAGAGACCATGAGAGACTCCTGACCCTGGGAAACGAAGGATGCGGAAGGGGAGGAGCGTAGGCGGATGGGGTGACAGGGATGGGCACTAAGGCGGGCATGTGATGGGGTGAGCACTGGGTGTTATACTATATGTTGGCAAATTGAATTTTAAAAAAAATCGTAAGAGAAAATATAGTACTACACTGTATTGAAAAAACCGTGCATATAAGTGGACCCACACTATTTAACCACGTTCAAGGGCCAATTGGTATTTTCATTTTTTCGAGTATATTTTTAAACTTGTGTCCTTCAAAATAAACTTGTGTTCTTCAGTGAACGGAAAGCTGGCGTCCATTTCCTCCAATACCGTATATGTCCGGGAACCCGCTAAATAATAGGTGCTTGCTCAGCACATGTTTGTTGAATTTAATCGATTGCTATCTCGGTACAATCTGATTGTGACCAAATGGCTTTTCTACTGTGTGCTGATGCTACTACGGGCTAGGACACTGGGTGGGAGGTGAGAAGAGCTAAAACTGAAAGACCAAGTCAGGGCCGATTCTTTGTGCTATGCCAAGTAACTTGGACTTTTTTCAATCCTAAAGATCCTAGGGATCCATTGATCTAATTTGTGTTTAGGTCAAGAAGTGTCCCAGGCTCCTGGCTTGAGCAGTCAGGTGGATGGCGGGGTAGAGAGAGGAAAAGGCGCCGATTGTGAGGGCAAGTAAGACTAGAAGCTAGTCAGAGGGCAGAAGAGAGCCCGGGAGTTCCTGCCTTCAGCATGTGCAGCTCAGATCTGTGTGACAGAAATAACTAGTCGGTAAGGATACAGAATTTAGGAGGGAGAGCCAGGCTGAATGTAGGCCTCTGAGTCTTCAGCATTTGCATTTAGGTGACAGTTGGAAATCCGTGGAATGGAAATCGCCCAGAGAGATGCTAGAGGGAGAAAAACTCTTAGGTCCACCAGTGTTTTCGGGTGCAGAGGCAGAGAGGCTTGCAAAGGAGAATGAGAAGGAGCTACCTGAGGGGTGGGGGAAATAGAGGCTCGTGGCTGTGGCAGAAATCACGGAGGAAACACTTCAAGGAAATAGTAGCAGTCAAGTGTGTCAAATACTGCAGAAGGGAAAAATACAAGAGGTGTGGGGGGAAAAAAATCTCCACTGGATTTAGCAATAAGGAAGTACCTTTAAAATGAGGATTTTCGGGCAGCCGGGGGTGGCCCAGAGGTGGAGCGTCGGCCTGGGGCCCAGGGCGTGACCCCGGGGTCACGGGATCGAGTCCCCCGTCGGGCTCCCTGCGAGGAGCCTGCTGCTCCCTCTGCCTGGGTCTCTGCCTCTCTCTCTCTCTCTCTGTGTCTCTCCTGAATAAACAAACAAATAAAATATTAAAAATATACATATGTAATCAAAGCAGAAACGCTGAACTGGAAACACCTCGTGGTAGCGTGCGCTTGTCCCGTTTCCTCCAGTCTGGACCGGGGCTCCCATCAGCAGGCCGCAGGGACCCGCCGGCCTTGCCTTCCCCCCGGGGTACCGGGCGACCCGCGGGCCGGTCGGAGGGCAGCTAGGCCGCGGGGCCCGGCTGGGCGGACACGCAGGTTTTACAGCCAACGCCCCGGGGGGCGAGTCTTCCCCGACAAGACGCCGAGTCGCAGCCGACGCCTGCTGATACTGCACAGACTTTATGACGGTTTGTGCCGCGATCACCGGTGGATTCTCCACCAAACAGAGCGCTCTCGGGGCCGAAGCCGCACGCCCAGCCTGCAACCGCACGGGAGGCCGCGCAGCATCCGCGCCGCCCGCTCCGCGCAGACTCCGCCGCCTACGGGAGCGAACTACAACTCCCATCGGACAACGCGAGCCGAGCGGGCGGGCATCCGCCGCGCGTGGGCGGGGCCGACCAATAACGACCGTCGTTACAGCCAACAGTTTGGCCGCGTTTGTAAAAGGCCGCGGCAGGCGAAGAGACAGGAGGTGAGGGCGGCCATGGGCCTGGGGCCCCGCGGCCGCGGGCGGCGGAGGGAGCGGGGCGCCGCGGGGCAGCTAAGGGGGCCGCGTTGACAGAAGGCGCGCGCGGCGTCGAGCCGGGAATGCAGGCGGAGAGCGCGTCCGGGGAGCGGGGTGCCGGCCAGGCGGGGCCGGGGCCGAGGCCGGGGCCTGCTCGGCACCGGAAGGGAGCCGCCGCGCGCGGAGGATGCCGGGAAGCAGGTCTCCGGGAGCTGCCGGGGCGGGGGCGGGGCCGGAAGCCGGGGGGCGGGCCCGGAAGCCGGGCGTGCGGGCGCGGGCCTCGGAGGGGCAGTCGCGGGGATGCCCGCTTGTGGGCGTGCCCCCGCCTCGCGCCCGTGCTCGGCGGGGGGACCCGGTAGAGGACCGGCGCCTGGTAGGTGGAGCGGCTGCGTCAGGCCGCGTCAGGCCCCGCGGGTCCGAGCGGGCGGACGGTGCCCACGTGACCGCGGCGACGCGAGGCCGCCCCTGGCCCCCGCGCCCCCCGCGCCCGCCGCGCCCGCCGCGGCCGGTCGGGGCCTGCGGGAACCTGCGCCGCCTCCAGGAAGCCGCCCTGGGTGAGCTGTCCCGCCGCCGCCGCCCCGGCTCAGCTGCAGACCCGCCCAGGACCGACCGCCGCGGGCGGGGTTCAGGCGCAGGCCGTTGTCCTAACCTTAGGCCGCGGAGGTAAAGCGGACGTGCGACCCAGCCGCCTCACGTGCCCCCGCGCCGCGCCCTGCGCCCCAAGCCCGCGGCTGCGGAGACGCCCTGCGCTGAGACCCGCGGGGGCGCGGGGGCGCGGCGCCTGTGCAGCCCCCCGGCCCCGGCCCGCGGCCGCTGACCTCCCGGCCCTTCACCGTGTCCCTACCGTCTCCTGCCCCTGCGCCCCGGCAGCCGCCCGCCTGCCTTCTGGTCTAGGACCTTGGGGCCTTCTTGCTTGTCGGTTTCCTAGATTCCACGTATAAGCGAAATCATTCGGTATTTGTCTTTCTCCGTCTTACTTAGCGTCGTACCTCCAGGCCCACCTGCGCCGTTCGCAGCGGCGGGCCCGCCTTCCCCGGGTCTCGGGGGTGTTCCGTGGTTTTCCAGCAGAGAATTCCATTTATAGCCACACACGCCACATTTCTGAAAACATACTCTGTTTATTCGTGAGAGGCCTCTAGAGACCCAGGATGAGGGAGAAGCAGGCTCCCTGCGGGGAGCTCGATGCGGGACTCGATCCCGGGGCCCCGGGGTCACGGCCTGAGCCCAAGGCAGGTGCTCGCACCGCTGACCCTCCGGGTGCCCCTGCCTCTTGCTTATTTTAAGGTAGGATTCGGGATGTTGAAAATTATTTTTGTTTTTTATTTTTCACAAGCTGGCTTTTCATGCTCTGCTCATTTTTTTTTTTTAAGTGGGTTTGTTATTGATTTAAAAAAAAAACTCTTATTTTAGAAAATGAGCTCTTTGGCATTCACGTTTCAAATATTTTCCCTCTATTTTTAATGACAGGTTTTTATCGTATTTAAGGAATCTCTGTACCCAGTGTGGTGCTCAAACTCAGAATCCCAAGATCAAGAGTCACATGCTCAACTGACTGAGCCAGGCAGGTAGCCCTTTTATTTTATTTTATTTTATTTTATTTATTTCTTTAAAGGTTTTATTTATTTATTCATGACGGAATGACAGGCAGAGACAAAGGCAGAGGGAGAGGGAGAGAAGCAGGCTCCATGCAGGGAGCCCGACGCAGGACTCAATCTCAGGTCTCCAGGATCACACCCTGGGCTGAAGGCAGGCACTAAACCACTGGGCCACCTGGCTACCCTTATTTTATTTTATTTTATTTTATTTTTTTTTAAGATTTTATTTATTCATGAGAGACACACAGAGAGACACAGGGACACAGGCAGAGGGAGAAGCAGGCTCCATACAGGGAGCCCGATGTGGGACTCAATCCAGGTCTCCAGATTCACACTCTGGGCTGAAGGCAGTGCTAAACTGCTGGGCCACCCAGGCTGCCCCAGGAACCCCTTTTAGTAACAGCTTTATTAGGAGCCCCTGGGTGGCTCATTCAGTTAAGTGTCCAGCTCTTGGTTTCCACTCAGGTCATGATCTCAGGGTCATGAGATGGAGCCCTGAGTTGGGCTCCATGCTTAGCATGGAGTCTGTCCCTCTTCCCCTGTCGCCCCACCCATTCTCTCTCTCTCTCTCTCTCTCTCTCTCTCTCTCTCAAATAAATAATAAAATCAGGCAGCCCCAGTGGCTCAGCGGTTTAGCACCGCCTTCAGTCCAGGGCCTGATCCTGGAGACCCCGGATCAAGTCCCACGTCGGGCTCCCTGCATGGAGCCTGCTTCTCCCTCTGCCTGTGTCTCTGCCTCCCTCTCTCTGTGTCTCTCATGAGTAAATGAATAAAATCTTTAAAAATAATAATAATAGGGATCCCTGGGTGGTGCAGCGGGTTGGCGCCTGCCTTTGGCCCAGGGCGGGATCCTGAAGACCCGGGATCGAATCCCACATCGGGCTCCCGGTGCATGGGGCCTGCTTCTCCCTCTGCCTGTGTCTCTGCCTCTCTCTCTCTCTCTCTCTCTGTGTGACTATCATAAATAAATAAATAAAAATTAAAGTTTAAAATAAAAAATAATAATAAAATCTTTTTAAAAAAAAGCTTTGTTAAATAGAATTCACATAATATAGAATTCACTCCTTTAAACTGTTGTTATTCAGTAATTTTTCATATATTCACAATTTCACAGCCTTTCATCACTTGGAAAGGAAGCTAGCAGTACTAGTACTCACTAGCAGGCATGCATTTCTCCCTTTCTTCCCAGCTCTTGGCAACCACCACTTGTCTCTGTGCATTTGCCTATTCTGCATATTTCATTTAAATGTGATCATACAGTGTGTAGCTCTTTTGTGTCTGGCTTCTTTCACTTAGTGTAATACTTCAAGATTCATATAGCACGTATCAGAATCTCATCTCAGAGCCAAACTGTATTCCATTGTGTGGGTATGCCATGTTGTGTTTGTTCATGCATCAGTTGATGGACACTGGATTGATTCCACCTCCTGGCTATTAGGAATACTACTGCTGGGGATCCCTGGGTGGCGCAGCGGTTTAGCGCCTGCCTTTGGCCCAGGGCGCGATCCTGGAGACCCGGGATCGAATCCCACGTCGGGCTCCCTGCACGGAGCCTGCTTCTCCCTCTGCCTGTGTCTCTGCCTCTCTCTCTGTGTGTGACTATCATAAATAAATAAAAATTAAAAAAAAAAAAGGAATACTACTGCTATGACATACAAGTACACATTTTTGTATGTTTTCAGTTGCCTTGGTATATGCTCTTGTGAGTCATATGCTAACTCTAACATTTTGAGGAACCATCAACCATTAGTTTTCCAAAGTGACTCTCCATTTTACGATACTATCAACTGTGTGAGGGTTCCAGTATTTCAATATCCATGACAACACTTGTTATTGTCTGCCTTTTATAGTCATCTTAGTGGCTATGACATGGCATCACATTGTGGTTTTGATCTGAAATTTCCTAATTATGTGATGTTGAACAATTTTTCATGTTTATTGGCTGTTTCTTTGGAGAAATACCATTCAGACCCTTTGCCCATTTTTAAATTGGGTTATTTATCCTTTTTTTTTTTTTTTAAGATATTATTTATTTAAGAGAGAGAAAGAGAGCATAAGCAAGGGGAGGGGCAGAGGGAGAAGGAAAAGCAGACTCTCCCTGAGCAGGGAGCCCTACTTGGGATTTGATCCTGGAAGCCTGGGATCATGACCTGAGCTGAAGGCAGATTTAACCAACTGAGCCACCCAGGAGCCCCAGGTGTTCAGTGCATTTTGATGCACGTATATATAGCAAAATGATCACCACCAAAGTATTAGCTACCACCTTCATCATGTCATATAATTACCGTGTTTTGGTGTGGTGAGAACATTAAACGTCTACTCTCTCAGCAACTTTCAGCTATTAGGGAAAGTATGTTAGTAATAGAATATACTATCATTAGCGATAATCACCATGTTGCCTAATAGATCCCCAGAGCTTATTCATCTTATAACTGGAAGTTTGCACCTTTAACTGATATCTCCCATTTCTCCCACCCCTCACTCCCTGACAATCCATTCCATTCTCTGTCTTTATCAGTTTGGCTTTTTAAAATTATACGTATAAGTAAAATCCTACAGTGTTTGTCTTCTCTGTCCACATTCTTTCCCCCCCTTCCCCCTCCACGTTGTCTTAATTTGCTTTGTAGTAAGTTTTGAAATAAAAAAGTATGAGTTCTTATATTCTGTTATTCTTTCTCAAGATTGTTTTGGCTCTGCCTTCATTTCTATGTTAATTTTAGGATCACCTTGTCAATTTGCAAAGAAAGGCACCTGGGTGGCTCAGTCAGTTAAGCTTCTGCTTCAGCTCAGGTCATGATCCCAGGGTCCTGAGACTGAGCCCCAAGTCGGGCTCCCTGCTCATCAGGGAATCGACTTCTCCCCCAGCCCCTCCCTCCACTTTGTCTTTCTCTCCCTCTCTCTCAAATAAATAAATAAAATCTTAAAAAAAAAAAAAAAGACATCTGGAATTTTGATAGAGATTACATTGTATCTATAGATCATTTTGGAGAGTAGTACCTTCTTAATATTAGTCTTCTGATCTCCAGACATGAGAGGTCTTTCCTTTTTTTTTTAGATCTTTAATTTTTATTTAAGATTTTATTCATTTTTTATTTTTAAAATATTTATTTATTTATTTATTTATTTATTTATTTATTTATTTATTTTTTTACACAGGCAGAGATACAGGCTGAGGGAGAAGCACGCTCCATGCAGGGAGCCCAATGTAGGACTCAATCCCGGGTCTCCAGGATCATGCCCTGGGCCGAAGGCAGGGGCTCAACCGCTGAGCCACCCAGGGATCCCAGACTTTATTTATTTTAGAGAGGGAGAGAGAGCATGCACAAGCAAAAGTGGGGGTAAGGGCAGAGGGGTGGGAAGAGGGAGACAATCTCAAGCAGACTCCTCAGTGAGTGTGGAACCAGACTTGAGGCTGGGGGCTCGGTCCCAGACCCCCAGACGGTGACCTGAGCAGAAACTAAGAGTTGGACGCTTAACCACCTGAGCCACCCAGAAATCATTAGTCTTTAATTTCTTCCAGTGATGTTTGCAGTTTTCAACGTACAAGTCCTGCACCGCTTTTATTCCTCACTTTGTTTTCATCTTTGGACTTAGTTTATGGTACATTTTTCTGTGCAGAAAATTTTCATTTTTATATATCAAATATAACCAGTTTTATTTAATTGTTTGTTTGTTTTTAGGTGAGCTCTATGGTCCAGTGTGGGGCTCGAACTCATGATGCTGAGGTTAAGTCATGTGCTCTACCAACTGAGCCAGCCAGGCACCCCTCAGTCTTAATTTTAAAATGGTGAAACATGGGCAGCCCCCGTGGCACAGCAGTTTAGCGCCGCCTGCAGCCTGAGGTATGATCCTGGAGACCTAGGATCGAGTCCCACGTCGGGCTCCCTGCATGGAGCCTGCTTCTCCCTCTGCCTGTGTCTCTGCCTCTCTCTCTCTCTGTGTGTGTGTCTCTATGAATAAATAAATAAAATCTTTTAAAAAATGTTTAAATAAATAAAATAAAATGGTGAAACAGGGCAGCCCAGGTGGCTCAGTGGTTTAGCGCTGACTTCGGCCCAGGGCGTGATCCTGGAGACGCAGGATCGAGTCCCATGTCTGGCTCCCTGCATGGAGCCTGCTTCTCCCTCTGCCTCTGCTCTCTCTCATTAATAAATAAATAAAATCTTAAAAAAAAATAAAATGGGTGAAACATTTGAATAGTATGTCTCTAAAGAGACAGATGTGGCTAAATAAGCATGTAATATGTTGCTCAGCGTCACTATTCATTAGAGAAATGCAAATTAAAAGCACAGCAAGGGACACCTGTGGAGCTCAGTGGTTGAGCATCTGCCTCTGGCTCAGGTTGTAATCTGGGGGTCCTGGGATCGAGTCCTGCATTGGGCTTTCTGCATGGAGCCTGCTTCTCCCTCTTCCTATGTCTCTGCCCCTCTCTCTGTGTCTCAGGAATAAATGAATAAAATCTTAAAAACAAAAACAAAAACAGCATGTCATGTGAAAGAAGCCAGACACAAAATACCACATATTATATGATTCCATCTATATGAAATGTCCAGAAAAGTTAAATCTATTGAGACAAGAAAACAGAGTAGTGATTGCCTGGGGATGAGAATGGTAGTTGATTGCAAACGTCTAGTGGATCTTTTCATAAAGGATGATAGAAGGGTTCTCAAACTGGGTTATAGTGGTGGATGCCTGACTCTACAAATGTAATGACTGTCATTGAATCATATACATAAAGTGGGTGAATTTTATGGTCTGTATTCAATAAAGTTTCTTTCTCTCTTTTTTAAAGATGTTATTTATTCACAAGGACACAGAGGCAGAGACATAGGCAGAGAGAGAGGCAGGTTCCCAACGGGCAGCTCGATGTGGGACTTGATCCCAGGACCCGGGTTAGTCATGCCCTGGGTTGAAGGCAGATGCTTAAAAGCTGAGCCACCCAGGTGCCCCAGTAAAGAGGCTTCTTAAGAGAAAAAAAAAAAAAAAACAGCACTGATGTAGTCAGGGGAAAAATCAGTATTTTGTGATTTGTCATAATTTAGGCTATGCTCATCTGATATCCTTAAAAAACATTGTTAAATCCCTTCCCTTTATTCTCTGTTAACAGTACCATTTTTCATACTTGAATGTTTTATCTGCCTGGAATTTATTGGAGTATGTTAAGTGAGAAAGGATGAATAAAAAAAAAAATTTAAAAAAAAAAGAACAAACCTCTCTGAGCCGAAGACAGACGCTCAACCACTGAGCCACCCAGGCATCCCAAAATAAATAAAATCTTAAAAAAAAAAAAATGTACATTTGTAATTTAGAAAGACACTAACAAATTGCCCTCTGCAGAGAATAATCAAAAAAGTAAAAGAGGGGATGCCTGGTGGCTCAGTGGTTGAGCATCTGCCTTCGGCTCAGGGTGTGACCTCGGGGTCCCAGGATCAAGTCCCACATCGGGCTCCCCGCAGGGAGCCTGCTTCTCCCTCTGCCTGTGTCTCTGCCTCTCTCTGTCTTTCATGAATAAATAAATAAATCTTTGAAAAAAAAAAGTAAAAGAAAAAAGAAGAAAGAATGGAATTCCTTTGATGATGCTAAAACTATAGCACCTTATGGCTTCGCCACAGTAATTGGCAAACCAGTGCCTCCTTAATGAGCAAATTTGTTATTTTCTACTTTAATGCTATGTTAAGTCATAATCATCAATGTAATTTTTAAAATTGATTAATTTTTTAAGGTTTTTCATATATAGGTATTTTATATACATATATATTTTTTTTTCTAGTTTGCAAATTAAAAACAACCTAAAGTTCAGAAGTTAAATTTGGTCACAGAGATAATTGGTGGTAAAGGGCAAACTAAACATTTCATCTTTTGACTTTGGAACAACATTCTCTTCTAAGATCCCATGTCTCGCTGAATGAAAATACCTACTAAAGAAGTTTATTGACCTGGAAAGGAAATGCTGCGTAAACAGGCTACTGCCCTAGATCAGGGGGTTTTAATGGATGATTTACCCCACCTCACCCCCACCCCAGGATATCCAGCAATATATGGAGACATTTTTATTTTTTTTTTAACACTTTGGGGAGGAAGAGTTGATTGCTACTGGCATCTAGTGGGTAGAGACTGGAGATGCTACCTAACATTTTACAGTGTATAGGACGGTTCTGCACAACAAAGAATTATCTGTGTCTAAATGTCGTCATGCCAAAGGTGAAAAAATCCTGCAATAGATCATATTTCACAAAGCTTTATTCACTTAGTGGATACTCAAAAAATATAACAGTTGGGAGATTAATTCATAGGACCAGTGAAAGGGTGAGCATTCTTAGACTTTGCTTGTTTGTACCTTATAATTTGTTGATTAACAAGTAGACTATAGGGATCCCTGGGTGGCGCAGCGGTTTGGCGCCTGCCTTTGGCCCGGGGCGCGATCCTGGAGACCCGGGGTCGAATCCCACGTCGGGCTCCCGGTGCATGGAGCCTACTTCTCCCTCTGCCTGTGTCTCTGCCTCTCTCTCTCTCTGTGTGTGTGTGACTATCATGAATAAATAAATAAAATCTTAAAAAAAAAAATAGACTATAGAAAATGTGGGTGGAAAAGTTCATCCAGGTAATCCTCTGGGGTCAGGGGACAAGAACAGCACTAACCGCCTATTTCAACATCACAAGCAGATTACCTTAAAAAATATATTGAACTTTGGGGCACCTGGCTGACTCAGTCTGTAGAGCATGTGACTCTTGATCTTTTGTTTGTTTGTTTGTTTTACTTGTGATCTTGAGGTTGTGAGATTGAGACCCATGTTGGGTATAGAGATTACTTAAAAATATAAAATCTTAAAAAAATAAAATCTTTTTTTTTTAAAGCTGAACTTTAGTTAATGAGACCTGAATTGATGCCTGCAAATTACTTTTAAATCCAATAAAATGTAAGAGGGTTTGATGAATGGAGAAAGGGATAAATAGATGTGTAATAAAGCAAATACAGTAAAACGTTAATTGTAGAATGTAGTGAGTGGGTATGTGAAAGTTCACTGTATAATTTTTTTTTAAGATCTTATTTATTCATGAGAGACAGAGAGAGGCAGAGACACAGGCAGAGGGAGAAGCAGGCTCCATGCAGGGAGCCCGAGGTGGGACTTGATCCTGGGACCCCAGAGTCATGACCTGGGCCGAAGGCAGGTGCTCAACCACTGAGCCACCCAGCTGCCCCTGTATAAATATTTTTTTATATGTTTGAAAATTGTCATAATATTAGAGGGGAAATCAAAAGAGATTCACCCTCTTATTAACAGACACGTGAAACCACATTTCTGATTTTGCTGGGTGGCCTCAGGGAAGTTACTTTGTTTTTATGTTAATTTTTTATTTTTTTTTAAGATTATTTATTTTAGAGAGAGAGCGAGCATGAGCAGGGGGAGGGGCTGAGGGAGTCGGGAGAGAGCATCTCAAGCAGACTCCTGGCTAAGTGCTGAGATCCCGACTTGAGGCTCCATCCCAGACCCTGAGATCATGTCTTAGGCTGAATACAAGAGTCAGACACTTAGCTGATTAAGCCACCTGTGTACCCCTCAAATTTTTTTTTCGCATTTTAGGTTTTTTGTTTTTTGTTTTTTAATATTCTTTATGCCCACTGTGGGGCTCATACTCATGAACCCAAGATCAAGAGTCACACGCTCCACTGACTGAACCACCTAGGCGCCACAGGTTACTTAACTTTTTAATTTCTGTAAAGTGTGATGGTTGTTTGGCTCAAATGAAATGCTAGTATTGTGAAGTTCAAATGAAACAACATGAAAGCACTTTGAAAAGCAGAAAGTAGGAGATCCCTGGGTGGCTCAGTGGTTTGGCGCCCGCCTTCGGCCCAGGGTGTGATCCTGGAGTCCCGGGATCAAGTCCTGCGTTGGGCTCCCGATATGGAGCCTGCTTCTCCCTCTGCCTGTGTCTTTGCGCCTCTCTCTCTCTCTCTCTCTCTCTCTCTCTCTCTCTCTCTATCACGAATAATAAATAAATCTTAAAAAAAAAGAAAAGCAGAAAGCACCCTAAGATACAATGCATTACTATTAAGAAGGATGAGCATTTGGCCAATCATATGTCACAGCTCTGGATGTTCGTGACACTCCCCATGTAATGACGTTAGCACTGTTTTGTTTTTTGTTTTTTGTTTTTTTTTAAGATTTTATTTATTCATGAGAGACACAGAGAGGCAGAGACACAGGCAGAGGGAGAAGCAGGGTCCCTGCAGGGAGCCCAAAGCGGGACTTGATCCCGGGACTCCAGGATCACGCCCTGGGGCAAAGGCAGGTGCTAAACTGCTGAGCCCCCAGGGATCCTCTGACATCAGCACTGTTTGACCAGCTTTAGGTGGAAGTACAAGACAACTGTTTCCATGACAGTTTCTGTCAAATATTTTTCCAATATCTGTGGAAGACTTAAGATTCCTCTTCTAAGAGGACAGAGTCATGCTATTTTTGTAAATTTAGTGTCTTTTCTTGTCTTCCTTGTAGATTGCCAAGATCTCCACTGAGGACTGTGGGAATCTCCTTTGACTCTGGAACCCTGGGCAGGAGCTTTGCGATTGGCTGCCCAAGAAGGAGGCGGAATGTCTGCATTGTTACACCAGAGAGTTCAAACTTCACAAGACTTTGGGTTAAACAGTATCATTTACTCTGCAAATGATTATGTCTTTGCCCATCCTCTATGATCATCACAAACTAATGAACAACCTCTCGGGTCTTATGAATTCAGGTTATACTGTTTTCCAGATGTGCTGGCAGCTGATTCAGGTAGGATCAGGCTGGGTTTTGTCGGGAATGGTGGAAAGGAAAGAACTCCTCCTTCCCACTCTCCAGTTCTTGTCTGGGTGAAACATCTGTGCATGTAAAAATTAGGCTAACTCACTAGGTTGTTGTATAAAGCAGTGTTGAGCCAAAAAAATGGTTTAGTTATATTAGAGTTCTAAAAAGGTGTAATGATTAGAAAAGCAAGATTTCCTTCACTTTTGTTTGATGGCTTACATGACTGTTCCGTTTGCAGGTGCAATTTGGAAATGGTAGCTAACCTTTTACTTTCTGTACAAAATATCGCAGGTGATTTTACTCCGTGTGTGTGTGTGTGTGTGTGTGTGTGTGTGTGTGTGTGTGTGTGTCGGGATGTATATCCATGCTGATGGGCTGATTGCTTCTTCTAGGGCCTTTGAACAATGGAAGCCAGCTCTCTGAGGACTAAAGTCCCAGCCTTCTTGTCTGATTTGGGGAAGGCCACATTAAGGGGAATCAGAAAGTGTCCCCGATGCGGCACCTACAACGGAACCCGCGGCCTGAGCTGCAAGAACAAGACCTGTGGAACCATATTCCGCTGCGGAGCACGGAAGCAGCCTAGTGCGGAAGCTGTCAGAATCATAACGGGTTCCGACCTACAGGTGTACTCGGTGCGGCAGAGAGACCGGGGCCCCGATCACCGCTGCTTTGTGGAGCTGGGTGTGTCAGAGACGACAATACAGACGGTGGACGGAACAATCATCACTCAATTGAGCTCTGGACGCTGTTATGTGCCCTCATGCCTGAAAGCTGCCACCCAGGGGGTAGTGGAAAATCAGTGCCAGCACATCAAGCTGGCGGTGAACTGCCAAGCAGAAGCCACCCCTCTGACCCTGAAGAGCTCGGTCCTGAACGCAATGCAGGCCTCCCCAGAAACCAAGCAGACCATCTGGCAGCTGGCTACGGAACCCACAGGTCCCCTTGTCCAGAGGATTACTAAAAACATTTTGGTGGTGAAATGCAAGGCAAGCCAGAAGCATAGTTTGGGGTATTTGCATACATCCTTTGTGCAGAAAATCAGTGCCAAAAGCTTGCCTGAGCGCCGGTTCTTCTGCTCCTGCCAGGCCCTGAAAGCGCACAAGTCGACCACCTCCAAGGATGAGGTGGCCCAGAGATGTATCCATTTCTTTGCTTGCATCTGTGCCTTTGCCAGTGATGAGACATTGGCTCAGGAATTCTCAGACTTCCTAAATTTTGATTCCAGCGGTAGGTGGTGTGTTGACACAGTTACTCTGTTTTTCTAAAATGGCAATGAAAGAGTTCCACTGATGGCATCTGGAGATTGTCCTAGCAACCTTCAGAAGCAGTTGCTAGATAACTCAAATGAAAAGCATTCCTTCTTTTACTCCCACTCAGCACAGTTGCCTCAAGGTTGGTTGGTTGGTCAGTTGGTCAGTGGGTTGGTTGAAATAGATGCTCAAGAGTCTTGGGCATTTTCTCTGAGACAACGAATCTAGCAAAAGTTAGCAGTTGCTTTGCCTTTTTTTTTTTTAACTTTCACAGATGCCCTATGTTAATAAAAACAAAGAATAAACAAACCTTTTATTTTGGGTCGCTTGCTTGTGTCTTATTTTTAAAGATGAAAGCAAGTACCTGCTAAAACATCTTTCAGGACTGCACAGCAAGTCTTTTCTTGTGGTTATTAACAGTTTTATCTTTTAGATGCTTTTTATTTTCATTTCTTAATGATTTTTAGTTGGCAGTTCCTAACTTTCTAGTTTTATTTCTCTGTAGTCTTTTATCATGTTAATTATCCTTAAGCAAAAACCTGTGTCTTGGGGAGTCTTTAAATTACTTAATTTTAAAGCAGGCAATCACTCCATAATTTGTTTTTTATAAATTAATTTTCTCTAGGCAGGGGCCCATACTTACTCTTGGGTGGTATTAATAATTAAGAAATCTATTGTATTTCAGGTCTTAAAGAGGTGATTGTGCCCCAGTTAGGTTGCCATTCAGAATCAACAGTATCAGCTTGTGAGTCTCCTTCCTCTAAGCCAAAGAAGAGGAAAAAGGACGAACTACCGGGTAAGAAGCTGATCGGTTTGTTTGTTTGATGATGTTGCCTTTAGAGATTGTCTTACTATGTATTATTTGTTTCACTGAACCTTAGAAAATACAGAAATAATGTTTCTTAATGTTTGTTTCCTGAAAAAAGTTTTATCCTCTATTGATGATTCTTTGTCGAGCTAAGGTTTGGTTCTTTTGGCCAAGTATAAGGTCCAACCAGACTCTACCTTTATTATATCGTATGTGTTGTTTATCCCTTAAACATTTGGACTAACCCAACCCCTCAGTCTGGTTTAGGACAGTGTCAGGAAGGTTTCATCCATAGAGTGTTTTTTTAAAATGTGTGACAATGGTTAATTGTGTTTTACAAACTAATTTAAGACTGTAGTTTCTTAGCTTCATTTTCAATATGTGGCACATATATATATTTTTTCTTTTTTACTGCAAGTGTACTAGTGTCAGTTGAGTAGTCAGATAAGTCAGTATGAAAATACTGTAAATAAGTAAATTAGTAAATAAGTAAATTAGTAAGAAAATACTGCAAATAAGTAAATTAGTAAATTTACTAATTATAGTAAATAAGTGTTAAAAGGCCTAGACTCTAAACAAAAGAGAAAAATATTCCAGTTCACACATGTAGAGTAGGAACCCTTTTGTAGGTAGAGTATTTGTAGAGGTGGGTCAGATGGTCACACACAGGAGTTTTGGTGCGAGGATGTTAGAGAAAGATGAAGAAACAAAGTGACACGGGGATTTGTTTTTAAGGAGTAATTCTGACAACAATATAGAGCAGAGATGGTTGTTAAATGTTTACTTATTTATGTTTTCCCAAGAAAAGAAAGTTCTTATCCTTAGTCCTAATTCTAAATAATTTTTTTTTTAAAAAAAGATTTGTTTTAGAGAGAGAGAGAGCACACACTCACCCACAGAGGGGCAGAAGGAGAAGGAAAGAAGCAGACTCCCCACTGAGCGTGGAGCCAGCAGCAGGGCTTGTCACAACCGAGACCATGACCGGAGCTGAAACCAAGAGTGGGATGCTTAACCGACTGAGCCACCAGGCACCCCTCTAAATATTTTATAAGAAAATAATCCTTTCTTTTTAAAGAGTTTATTTATTTATTCATCAGAGACACAGAGAGAGGCAGAGACATAGGCTCCATAGAGGGAGAAGCAGGCTCCATGCAGGGAGCCTGATACGGGACTCGATCCCAGGACCCTGAGGTCATGACTTGAGCCAAAAGCAGACGCTTAACCACTGAGCCAGCAGGCTCCCCAAGAAAATAATCCTGGATACAGGAAAAGCATTTTGTTCACAGGTGTTCATTTTACAGTTATTTGTAACTGGCCAACCACTAGGGATAATTCAATAAACCTTGATAAAGTGACCTGATCACTTTATCAGGCAACCATTAAAAACAATTATAAAGAATTATGAAAATTATTGTAAAGAATTATTATAGGGCACCTGGGTGGCTCAGTCAGTTTAGCATCCAGTTCTTGGTTTTGGCTCAGGTGGTGATCTCAGGGCCCTGGGATCGAGCTCCCTGTGAGGCTTTGCACTTGGCTCAGAGTCTCGTGGAGATTCTCTCTCCTTCTCTCTCTACCCCTCCCCCTGCTCTTGCACAAGTATGTGCACACACACACTCTAAAATAAATAAAAGAATTATTATAAAGAAATGTTTAGATAACTCAGGTAAAATACAGAATGCTCCATATAAATTTGATTTTTGTACAAACAATGAATTTTAGTATGTCCCATGCAACATTTGGAACATACTTAGGCTAAAAAAACTATTCATTTATTTGAAATTCAGATTATTTATTTATTTATTTATTTATTTATTATTTTGCTAAATTTGGCAATCCTGACACAATCACAGTTACTTAAAATCACAAAACCAGCAAAATCAACTGTTTTTGCATGCACTTACACACATCCACACAATAGTTTACCAGAAAATTGATAGTAATTTTGAGGTGGGGATAGTGATTGACAGGTGAGGAGCAGTGGGTGAATATTTTTTTCTCCTTTTCACTTCTAGGCCCCCAACCCACACCCCAATTTCCTGTAAAGAGCATATAAAACTGAAAATGTTATGTATAAAGCCTAGTGCTAATTCCTTCTAGAAACTGATGCTTAGAAATTAACAAAGACTTTTTATGTTTTAGACTATTCAGAACTCGATATTGAATTGATTTCTATTTTGCAGAAATACTATTAAACACTGTAATGATTTGTGGTTTAGGTGCACAGACGAACAGTTCACTACTGCCTCAGGATGCAGTGAGCAGTAATCTAAGGAAAAGTGGCCTGAAAAAACCTGTGGTTGCTTCTTCATTAAAAAGGCAGGGTGAGTTTGCCTTCCCCAGGGTAGGTTAAAGAGGTGGGAAATCATCCTAAAGAGGCCCAAAGCAATATAATCAAAAGAAATGTTGCATGTTATCCCCCAAAGAGTGCCGGGATAAACACTAGCAGGCATTGAGGCTGAGGTCTGTGCTGTTCCACTGATTTGAAATCCTACTCGAAATCAAACTGTATCTTTTAAATAACAGATGCAGCAAAAATGACTTCATGTTTCCACAGCACACATATCTGTATGATATCTTCTTCCTTTTGTTGCTTGTAGCCTACATGCTATACCAACTCAGTATGAGCCTGAATGGTGAGGAAGAAACAGATTTTAGAACTATGCACTGATAAATATTTGTTGAGAAAGACTAATATAATCTGTTCTCCAAAGTCATTTAAGTTTGGGGGCACCTGACTGGCTCCGTCGGTACAGTATGGGACTCTTGATCATGGGGTTGTAAGTTCGAGCCCCACGTTGGACACAGAGATTACTTTAAAAAATAATAAATGGATAATATCAAAGTCAACATGTGTTAAATTTATCACATTCTGAACTTATAAGACAAAATGACTTAATTTGAACATAATATATATTTACTTCTCAGAATAACTAAGCTTGTACATTTGGGGATCAACATTTTCTTAACTCTCAGGTATTATAGCTGGGTGATTAAAAACCAGCTTTCATCAGGGTGCCTGGGTGTTTCAGTCGGTTGGGAATTTGCCTTCAACTCAGGTCATGATCCCAAAGTCCTGGGATGGAGGAGTCCTGAGTCCCTGCTTCTCCCTCTCCCTCTGCTGTTCCCCTGTTTGTGCACATGCTCAGTCTCTCTCTCTCTTTCTCTCAAAAAAATAAATAAGATCGTAAAACAAACGAACAAACAACTAGATATTAAGATCAAATCTTAACTAACCAATTAACTAAGAACTTACACATTCCAGGAATAAACGTTTTTGGAATGGCAGGGAGTGTAATAAAAAATACCAGGTAGAAGACATTTTTATTTTTTTTAAATTTTTTTTATTTATTTATGATAGAGAGAGAGACAGAGAGAGGCAGAGACACAGGCAGAGGGAGAAGCAGGCTCCATGCACCAGGAGCCCGATGTGGGATTCGATCCCGGGTCTTCAGGATCGCGCCCTGGGCCAAAGGCAGGCACCAAACCGCTGTGCCACCCAGGGATCCCTAGAAGACATTTTTAAAATATCTGATTTATTCACTTGAGAGAGATAGCGAGCATGAGTAGGGGAGGGACAGAGTGAGAGGAAGAGGGATAAGCAGACTCCCCCCCCCCCCAGCGGAGACCCTGGCATGGGCTCCATCCCAGGACGCTGAGACCATAACCTGAGCTGAAGTCAGAAGCTTAACCCATTGAGCCATCCAGGCATCCCAGTTAGAATATTTTTTTTAAAGGTTTTTATTTATTTATTCATGAGAGACAGAGAGAGAGAGAGAGGCAGAGACACAGGTAGAGGGAGAAGCAGGCTCCACGCAAGGAGCCCGACATGGGACCCGATCCCGGGACCCCAGGAACACGCCCTGAGCCAAAGGCAGACGCTCAACTGCTGAGCCACCCAGGCGTCCCTAAAGCGTGTAACTCTTGATCTCAGGGTTGTGAATTCAAGCCCCATGTCAGATGCAGAGATAACTTAAAAACACAATCTTTAGGAGATGCCTGGGTAGTGTAGTCAGTTAACTGTCCGACTCTTGGTTTCAGCTCAGGCCCTGATCTTTAAATTGTATGATCAAACCCCACCTTGGGCTCTGCACTTAGTGTGGAGTCTGCTTGAGGCTTGCTCTCCCTCCCCCCTCCCCTCTGCTCATGCTCTCTCTCTCATAAATAAGTAAATCTTAAAAAGAAAAAATTAAAATAAAACCTCTGAAATAAAGTATTTGAAAAAAGTCAACTGCAAATTGAAGAAAGGCCTTATTTAATGGCTACTTTAAAGATAATGATGCCTTAGCTACTATTCATTTGAAACTAAAATTGTCATTAGGTAAATGTATATAGTGATAATTTGAATGAAGAGCTATTTTATTCTATTTTATTTTTTCTTTGCACCAAAGGAACTGATGAAAATTTGTTAAAAAATATTCTAACTGCGGGATGCCCGGGTTGCTCAGTGGTTTAGCGCCGCCTAAACCTAAATAAAATCTTTAAAAAAATTACTATGGTTAATAATCTTAAACACATTAGCATTTCCACAGCTTTTCCCTTCTTTTTTTCCAAATGGATTCTTAAAAAAAAATCCTAAAATCTTCCATTTCACTTAATGTATCTAAATTTCTTTGAATTTCAACTTGTTGCTCTTTTCCATACAAAATGCTCAGCTTTTTCAAACTCCAGGTAATTGTTGTTTCTGTTAAAAAAAGATAAAAGTCACTGAAAAGTTTTTTGTTTTTCCTAGCCTGTGGTCAACTGTTAGATGAGGCACAAGTGACCTTATCCTTCCAAGACTGGCTGGCCAGTGTCACAGAACGCATCCATCAAACCATGCACTACCAGTTTGATGGTAAGTACTGGTCACCCGACTTGGCTATTGCTGAAAGGAGGAGAAATCAAAGTAATTGTGTTATAAATGTATTCGTTTTTTTTTTTTTTTAAGATTTTATTTATTTATTCATGATAGGGCGGGGGGCAGAGACACAGGCAGAGGGAGAAGCAGGCTCCATCCCGGGAGCCTGACATGGGACTCGATCCCAGGATCCCAGGATCACGTCCTGGGCCAAGGGCAGGTGCTAAACCGCTGAGCCACCCAGGGATCCCCCTGTTTGTTTGTTTATTGAGTTTTTAGTTTATTTCCAGCATAGTTAGCATATATGCTATATTAGTTTCAGGTGTACAGTGTAGCAATTCAGCGATTCCACACATGCCCAGAGCTCATCACAGGTGTTCTTCTTAATCCCATCCCCTATTTCCCCCATCCCCTCGCCCCCTCCTCTCTGGTAACCATCTGTTTGTTCTCTAGAGTTGAGAGACTGTTTCTTGGTATGTCTTTTTTTCCCCCGCTTTGCTCCACTGTTTTGTTTCTTAAATCCCATATGTGAGTGAAGTCATAGGGTATTTGTCTTCTCTGACTGACTTATTTTGCTTAGCATTATGCTCTCCAGCTCCATCCATGTCATTGCAAATGGTAGTTCTATTCTGGGTTTTTTTGTTTGTTTGTTTTAAGATTTATTTATTTAATTTAGGGAGAGAGTGAGAGAGAGAGCAGAGGAGAGGGGCAGAGAGGGACAGAATATTAAACAGATACCCCAGTATGTGTGGATCCTGACAGGAGGCTCAGTCTCAGGACCCCGAGATTGTGACCTGAGCTGAAAACACCTGTTGGACACTCAACTGACTGAGCAACCCAGATACCCCTAGGAGTCACTCTTGACATTATATCTAGGCAGGTAGTGGTTCTGGATGTTTCCCCTATTGGGGCCAGCATCTTGGGCAGTGTTTTTGTTTGTTTGTTTTTGTTTTGTTTTGTTTTGTTTTTTGTTTTTTAAGATTTATCCATTTATTGTAGTGGGGGTTGGGAGCAGAGGGGCAGAAGCAAAGAGAATCCCAAGTGGACTCCCTGCTAAGTGCGGAGCCCGATTTGGGGCTTGATCCCACGACCCTGAGATCACAACCTTGCCAAAACCAAGAGCCAGACACCCAACCAATGCAGCCACCTACATGCCCTGTTTTAAGTAAGCTCTATACCCAATGTGGAGCTTGAACTCATGACTTCAAGATCAGGAGTTACATGCCCTGCCACCTGGGCCAGCCAGGCCCCCTTCTCTTAGATAATTTTTAAGGAAAATCTGAACTCTTCTGAACCCTCCCCTAAACACTCTTTCTCCTGACATTTTGCTGACCCTAGGGTTTTGCAAATTTCTTTAAGGTGTTTGTTAAGTATTTTCAGACATTTTGCCTGCTTTGAGATCATCTTCAGAGAGAAAGGCCAATGCTTATTGGATAAACAGTGTCCTGACTTTGGGGTCTGTGGCACTCATGGCCCAGACCATCTGAGTGGGAGCTTGTGGTTACTTTGCTTGGACATGAATGCATGTAGCAAATGCCTGGGGGCGCTGAACAGGATTGAATCAAGTTTACCTTCTCAACTCAGCATCATCGTTCTCATCTCATTTCATATACTCTTTAAAGGGAAAATTCTGGGCTGTGGTGGTGTTTATGAAACTGGGAATTTGAAAAGTTATCTTTGGGGGCACCTGGGTGGCTCAGTGGTTAAGTATCTACCTTCAGCTCAGGTCGTGATCCCGGAGTTCCGGGATCGAGTCCCACATCGGGCTCCCTGCATGGAGCCTGCTTCTCCCTCTGCCTGTGTCTCTGCCTGTCTCTCTCTCTGTGTGTCTCTCATGAATAAATAAATAAATTATTTTATTTTGTTTTTTTAAGATTTTTTTATTCATGAGAGACATGGGGGGGGGGGGCAGAGACACAGGCAGAGGGAGAAGCAGACTCCATGCAGGGAGCCTGATGTGGGACTCAGTCCCGGGTCTCCAGGATCACGGCCTGCGCTAAACCGCTGAGCCACCGGGCTGCCCAAGTAAATTCTTTTTTTTTTTTAAAAAAGAAAAGTTATCTTTGGTGGATGACAGGGGTCTGCGAGGGATCAAGAGTAGGGCAGGTGACAGTGCTTGACTCATAAAGGCCAATCAAAACCGCCTTTTTGTCTCGGTATAAAGCAGCCTAAGTGACATTTGTAGTTATTACTGCCACCCAATTCCATTTCTTCCACTTCTCCCTGTGTGTCAGAAAGCCCACTGAGTTTCTCTAAGTGAGTTTCTTCTTATTTGCTGTAGGCAAACCAGAGCCACTGGTGTTTCACATTCCTCAGACCTTTTTTGAAGCCCTGCAACAAAGAATATCTATAGGAAGTGCAAAGAAACGGCTTCCCAACTCCACCACAGGTATGGGATTTTTCCCTTTGGAATTAGTGATAGATGTCTTGACCTTAAAGAATTATGTTGAGAAAAACAGTGTGGAATTTTCAGGATTAGGACTTAAAGTCACATGCTCAGAGCATGAAGATATAGCCAGTCGGCTCTTAAAGTAATGATCACCCTCCTCCAAGGCCCCATACTTACTCCAGTAAGAGGTAATAGAAAGATTCAGAAAGCCCCAATTTTGTATAAGAACAGTGAAGTGCAGTAAGAGTGCCCACCAAGAAGTTTGATATTTTTTAGATATTTTTACCCATTTCAACAAAAGTGTCATTTGGGCTGGCCTCTTGGGAGCATATTATAGTATGTATCAAAAACAGAAACTTGTTTTTCATGATTCCCTATTTTTGATGGACGATTTTATTTTTAGAGTAATTCTTAGGCTTGAAACCCTTTATAATTATATTATTATGGTGCACAGTTCTTGGTTTTCTATTACATCTTCTACTAGAAATTTCAAGATACTTCTTAGGTAGTGTAAGGAAATAAGGGAGAGAAAAAGAGGAAAAAAGGACGGCTCAGTGGTAAGTAGCCTAAGAGGAGCTACAGCTGGGAATCAATGCTGTTTCTTTAGTTAATAGTTATTTGATGATATAATAAGGACTGTTTGAGGTTTAAATGTATCTCTGAGTAGTACAAGCTGTGAACTTTAGGGACTTAAACATATTTGTTGTCACAGCTTATCTGAGGCAGCGTTGATCCTTTTTTTTTCTTTTAAGATTTTATTTATTTATTCATGAGAGACATAGAGAAAGAGAGGCAGAGACCCAGGCAGAGGGAGAAGCAGGCTCCGTGCAGGGAGCCCGACGCAGGACTCGATCCCGGGTCTCCAGGATCACGCCCTGGGCCGAAGGTGGCGCTAAACCGCTGGGCCACCGGGGCTGCCCTATTCTTTCTTTTACATTAAACTTTAGGCCTTCTAATACATTAACTTTAACCCAGATCTCTGCTATTTTTGCCAGCCCTTTGGTGAAACCCCTTCATAATCCTGTAGGCAAGGTAGTAGATTGGCAACCACGCTAATGGGCTTAAACTCCGTGTAATCCTTTTAAGAATTATAATTTGACCTCTGATATAACTAAAGTTGTAAGAGGTCATAAGAAGCTATTTTATAATGGAGTCCTGTGTGTATGGTTGTACCAAGCAAAGAAGTGAGTTTCTAAGGTACAGAAATAAAGAGCATCTCAAGCATCAGAAACTTTAGTTAGTAAAAATCCATATCATTTATTACATTTCACCAAACCTATTATAGATTTGCCTCTAGAATTTCTTTTTAAAAGTGCTGAGATTCTGAAGGACAGGATAGCACTGCACTGAGCCCTCTAGAAACTGGATAACAAATACAATGAAAGAGAATGCTGTGTTTTGGTAGTCTAATCTTGTTCCCTTTTTACATTGAAGCTTTTGTTCGGAAAGATGCCTTGCCACTGGGAACCTTTTCCAAGTATACCTGGCATATCACTAATATCCTGCAAGTTAAACAAATCTTAGATACCCCAGAGGTAAGAGGGTATTTCTACAATAGTAGGAGGGCAAAGAGGGGAAGAGAGAGAAGCAAGTGCAGGAAGTCTGTTCGTATCAGTTTTCTGAGTCCTTGAGTTATAGATACCAAAGGGAATTCCTTTCTTTCATACTCAGAGATTATTCAGAAATACTTATTGCTGTGTGGTTCTGTGATTTTAATGGGTTTTCCCTAGTGCTTGCAAAAGTATCTTAAATTGGAGTATCCTTTTTCTTTGCCTTTGGGATCAGAAAACAGATCACTTTTCTCATGAATTAAATAATGAGCCCCTTCTAGCTATGGTGAGCCCTAGATTAACTGACAGTAAGCTTAAAAGTATATAAATAATTTGAGATGATACACTATTCGTGAAGTCGGTGAACTCAGCACAATTAAATGCTTCTCCGCAAACTGCAACATAGTTCTCATTAGAGAAATGACCCCTAGTTAGTTTGCATTCTTTTTTGCAAGGGAAATACTAGACAGTTTTAAACCTTATATTTTTCAACCAGATCCTGAAAATTGGAGGTTTTTCCCTTCTTACAGTAGAAGAATATTGTAGAAAACTCAGCATAGTGTGATTTGATACGTTAAGATGAGCTTAAATGCAAGGCATTTGTTACTTTCAGAAAAAGAAAAAGCTATTTGGTAGCTGTGGAACTTACATGTGAACCCTAGAAAAGGCCTGTGTTAGCACTAAAGACACTTGAGGAGCTTCTTTAAATATCAGACGTCACAGAGACAGCTCTGGCCTGGAGCAAGTGTTCAGGGTGTGACCGTTAAGTGAGGGAAGGGGCTGATACTAGGAATCCTAGAATGTTGGTCTGCGGGGCACTACGACTGCATCCCCTCATTCAGACTTACAGCCATGCGTTGGTAGGAACTGTATGTTGCGGATGAGAAACAGGCTGTGAGCAGCTCACCCTGCTGTTCAGTGGCAAAGACCAGCTCCAGTTGTGTCTGGCTCAGTCCCAAGGACGGCATGAAGCATACAAGCGTGAGGTCAGCTGTAGGCGCGGTCAGTGGAGTCTTTAGGACAGTGATGCTAGCAGAGCGGCCGGGGAAGGAATGAAGCTGGTCAGAGAGCAAGTCTCTGCCTGCAGCCCTCACATAGCCATGAAGACATTAGGGCTTCAGTTCATCTACACTTTGGCTGGGGTTCAAATTAAAGTTCCAGAGGAAAAATGAAAGCCATGAGCGATGTAAAGGAGAAAAGGCAGATGTGTTGACAGCATTGACTTGAAAATACAAGAGGAAGTTTTAGTTAATTAGAGTGTACTTAACAAAAAAGAATAAGTGAAAGATCTGTTGTCATCCAAATATTTATCTACTTTGAGTTTTCCCTTTCTCACCTTTCTTGGTGTTGTCTCCATGTCCAGATGCCCTTGGAAATCACTCGGAGTTTTATCCAGAACCGGGATGGGACGTATGAGCTGTTTAAATGCCCTAAAGTAGAAGTAGAGAGCATAGCAGAAACCTATGGTCGTATAGAAAAGCAACCCGTGCTGCGACCCTTAGAACTAAAAACTTTTCTCAAAGTTGGTAAGTGAATTGTGTTTTCGATAGCACATCTTCCTTGAAGAGTTAGCTGTGTGCACTGCACTGTCCTAGACTTTGGATCTTGACCGTAAACAAAGCAGACACATTCATTCATCTTGGACAGGCCACCATGGAATAAAGTGTTGTGTTTCTTTTGAAACAGTACTTTCAAAACAAAATTACCAGGGCGCCTGGGGGGCTCGGTTAGGCGTCTGACTCTTGATTTCAGCTCAGGTCATGATCTTAGGGTCATGAGATTGGGCCCCGGTGTCGGGCTCTCTGCTGGTGTGGAGCCTGCTTGGGATTCTCTGTCTCCCTCCACCCCTCCTCACACACCTTCTGCTTGCACACAGGCACTCTCTTTCTCTCTCTCCAAAAAGTTAATTAATTAATTAATTAATTAATTAGAATCACAGAGGGCATCTAGCTGGCTCATTTGGATGGAGCACATGACTTGATCTCAGAGTTTTAACTTTGAGCCCCATGTTGGGTGTAAAGCTTGTAACATATTCATCATAGAGAAAGCATAGATTTCATTGTAAAGCATAAAGGAGAAAAATCAACCACCTATAATCCCATGCGCCAGGGAAGACATCATTGCTAAGACTCTGGTATATACCCTTTCAGACTCTCTTCTGTGCCTTGAAGAGTTTATAAAACATGAGATCATACTTTTTTTTTTTTTTTTTTTTTTAGGATTTTATTTATCTGATAGCACAAGCAGGGGGAGCAGCACGCCTAGGGAGAAGCTAACTCCCCGCTGAGCAATGAGCCCAACACAGGGCTCAATCCCAGGACCCTGGGATCATGACCTGAACCAAAGGCAGACGCTTAACCCACTGAGCCCCCAGGTGCCTCAGGATCATACTTTTTTTGACATAAAAATATATCATGGACAGCTTTCCATGTCTATCTTCAACATTATTTTTTAACTTTTTTTGTTATAAAACATATATAATATAAACATTTTTTTAAAGTGTGTATCTGGTTTTCAGGCATTAAGTACATTTACATTGTACAACCATCACCTCCCTCCATCTCCAAAACTTTTTTCCTTCTTCCACTGAAACTGTACCCATTGAACAGTAACTCCCTAGTCTTACCCTGCCCCTGGCCCCAGGCCACCACCATTCTACTTCCTGTACCTCATGTAGGTGGAATCACACAGGATTTGTCTTTTCTCTGACTGGCTTATTTCACGTAGCATAACAGTGCATACAGTGCATGTGTCATTTCTTTCCTTTTTTTTTTTTTTTTTTTTTTTTTTAAAGCAAGTACTATACTCAGCACGGGGCTTAAACTCAAGAACCCGAGATCGGGATTCGCACACCTTACTGACTGAGCCAGCCAGGTGCCCCATAGTTTTGAAGGCTCTACTGTTTTATTTTTAATTCTGCTAGTGTTTATATGTTTTCAAAAGCATTCTTTAACCTGAGTTTTTCATGGTTAAATCCTTGATCCTCTGGAATTTACTTTTTTTAAATAAAGATTTATTTATGTAAGAGGGAGAGAGAGAGAAACAGAGCAGGGACAGGGGCAGAGGGAAACGGAGACAAGTAGACTCCGCACTGAGTGTGAAGCCCGACATGGGGCTCGATCCCAGAACCCTGAGATCAGAGTTTGAGCTAAAATCAAGAGTCAGATGCTTAACCAACTGAGTCACCCAGGCACTCTTGGAATTTATTTTGATATAAGGTATAAGATATGATTCTGATGTATACCATTTATTATAAGAAACTCTTGTATTTCTTTTACTAATTAAAAATGCCACCTTGGGGGCGCCTGGCTGGCTTAGTGCAACCCGTGATCTTGGGGTTGTGAGTTCAAGTCTGATGCTGGGTGTAGAGATTACTTAAATAAACTTTTTTTTTTATGGTGAAAAAATTTATATTTAGATTTATAGCTGGCTGGACTCAGTTTAGATGATCCCAATCTGATCAAGGTGTTGACCTTGGCCACATCAATGTCATAGAGCTTCTTCACACCGTGTTTGATCTGGTGCTTATTGGCCTTGACGTCCACGGTGAACACAAGTGTATTGTCTTCTGTTTTCTTCATGGCTGACTCCGTAGTTAAGGGGAACTTGATGGTATAGTGATCAAGCTTGTTTCTCCTGGGGGCGCTCTTTCGAGGATATTTGGGCTGCCTTCGGAGACGCAGGGTCTTGGGTTGTGAATGTAGGTGACGGGCGGATCTTCTTTTTTTTTTTTTGTGACTGTGCACACCTTTCAGCACCGCTTTCTTAGCTTTCAAAGCCTTTGCTTTGGCTTCAGCTTTTGGAGGGGCAGGGGCTTCCTTCTTCGCCTTCGGCGCCATCTTCGTGAAAAGTTAAATAAACTTAATAAAATAAAAATGCCACCTTAGGGCAGCCCAGTGACTCAGCAGTTTAGCGCGGCCTTCAGCCCAGGGTGTGATCCTGGAGTCCTGGGATTGAGTCCCACATCGGGCTCCCTGCATGGAGCCTGCTTCTCCCGCTGCCTGTGTCTCTGCCTCTCTCTCTCTCTCTCTCTCTCTCTCTCTCTCTTTCTCTCTCTCTCTCTCTCTCTCTGTCTCTTCATGAATAAATAAATCTTAAAAAAAAAATGCCACCTTAATCTTATACTAAATTCCTGTCTCTAAGTGTGTCTCTCTAAGTGTGTGTTCACTTAGGATCTTTCTGTTTTGTTCTTTTCATCTGCCTAGACCTATGCCAGTACCACATGCCTTTGGTTATTATGGATTTATATATGTTTTAGAACCATATAGATTTTTTCTTTAAAGATTTTATTTATTTATCCATGAGAGACCCAGAGAGAGGGAGGCAGAGACACTCCACAGGGAGCCCAATGCGGGACTTGATCCTAGGACCCCAGGGTCATGCCCTGAGCCGAAGGCAGATGCTTAACCACTGAGCAACCTAGGCGTCCCAGAACCATGTAGAATTTAATTTTGTTTCTTTCAGGTTTCCTTGAAACTTGACCTTTTCTTGCTAGTCTCCCTTTTAATCTCATTCAGCTATCTCTTCTTCTCAATCTGGGCTCTCCTTAGCATTCTTTTGGCTGTTTTACCAGAAAGACTAGGTCTTATTTCATTTGGAGCTGCCAGACAGTTCCCTGAAATCTTCTTTTGGGTAGATAGATCAGTAATTGCTTTTCCCTTCCCTTGATTCTTCTTGTTTTTCCCTTTGTTTCTCTCTTATTTTAATTCTAAAACTTTTTTTCCTTCCTGAACACAGTAACACTGGCCAGCCTCAAGTTTTGGAATGGTATTAATCATTGTTTTTGTTTTGTTTTTTTGTTTTTGGTCTTCAGGCAACACTTCCCCAGATCAAAAGGAGCCAACACCTTTCATCATTGAGTGGATCCCAGATATCCTTCCTCAGTCCAAGATTGGTGAGCTGCGCATTAAATTTGAGTATGGTCACCACCGGAATGGGCACGTGGCGGAGTACCAAGACCAGCGGCCGCCGCTGGACCAGCCCTTGGAACTGGCCCCTCTGACCACCATCACTTTCCCTTGAGGCAAAACAAAACAGTCTTTTGCTGCTAAATTTGCACATCCCCACCCCTTGACAATTTTAAATACTAGTTAGGCATTTAGATGGCCCTGCTCCTTAGTGAACTGCTCTTAGCTAAGATGCAATTTCTCGGAGCATTCAAGTGGTTTCTGTTGAAGAAGAACTCTTCTTGTAAATGGCCTTTTTGGTGCTGCTGTGTATAGTCTTCATCATAAATTGGGTGATATTCCTGGCTAGAAGTTTTAAAGGAACTAAAAGGAAACCAGCTCACTTTCCGTCTGAAAGGACTCCCGTTTAGAGTTTGCTTCAACCTTTTTCTAATGCTCTAAGAAGTTAGCAGCACTCCGCCTTAACACCAACAGTGTTGGAAGTTAATAATACCCTGGTTGGGGCAGAATGTTAAGGACCATCCTGACAGTTCCAGTCATGCCCTTTTATTCTGTTCTCAAATAAAGCAGTGTCACTAGTTTTTCCAAAGTATTTCTCATGTTGGCCTGATTATGAAATTATAAACCTTTGGGGAGATTTAAGTAATCGTGAAATAGGAGAAAGAGGTCCACATGTCAAGGGAATGTTGACATTTCAAACAAATGCTTCTAATTGCTTAGTTCATTGATAGTGATTTCCTTCTTTATTCTCCAAAAAGTTTTAATAGCTGGTAAGATTCTGTTCCTGTTGCTGAGTTCATTGATCACAGAATGGAGACACTGAAAGACACAGAAGTAAAAGCCTGTCTTCAGGGAGAAAAGAAGGGAATGACATTTCCTAAATGCCTACTATGTGCCAGGCACTCTCATTTACATTCCCAGTCATTTTCCTCGTTTAGTCCTCATTATTCTTTGAACTTAGGCATTACCCCTTCTTTTAAGTCAAACACATACTCTCTCTGAGGCCTCTTGCTGGAAACAGCATTAAAAAGATTTCATTTTACTGCAAAGGACATATTCTTTCTACTTTATCATGTTGCTTTGATATAAATTCCTTGTAATTCGTTGTCCTTGGGAACACAAGAACACAAGAAAAATCTGTAAGAAGAAGGCTCTTGGTTTTCTTTAGACTGAAAGTAACAAAAATCCAACTCTAACCACGTTTGGCAAGAATGGGAATGAATGACTGGTTTGTGGACTCTAAACTAGGGCTGGACAGCTGTCCTGGGGCAGCGGGGGGTGGGACTAGGCCTCAGGAACCCTGCAGCCGTGTCCATCTGACCCATCACTGTCTGTCCTGGGATTTCACTCACTCTTGGCACCAAGCAGCTCCTTCTGGCCCGAATTCTGGCTCCTAAGGCACCTGAAGTATGACTTCCACGCTAGAGCAGGGACCGGCCACTGTGCTGTGTCTCTCATCCAAAGGGCAAAGACCCACAAGGAAGACTGGTGTTTTGGTAAAAGCGAGAGCTGTGCCCCTCCAAGGGGCGGATTAAGTCTCTGTCCTATGTGGTTGGGGGACACTTGTGTGGAGAGCTCACAGACGCTTTAGACGCTGGTGGAGTTCCTCGAGGAGACTCTGGAGCGGCCCGCAGAGAACTCAGAACTTGCACTGGGCTTTAAAGGAGAAAAGGTGGGCACCTGGGTGACTCAATGGTTGAGTTCTGCCTTCGGCTCGGGTCATGATCCCGGGGTCCTGGGATCGAGTCCTGCATTGGGCTCCCCGCAGGGAGCCTGCTTCTCCCTCTGCCTGTGTCTCTGCCTCTCTGTGTCTCTCATGATTAAATAAAGTCTCTAAAAATCTAAAAAAAAAAATAAAGGAGAAAAGGTTTGCATAGATATGAAGAGGAGAAATTAAAATTAGGCAAAGCAGAGCCTTAAGGGACTGATGATGGTCCCTGCGGATTCTGGATGTCGTCTTGAACAACGATGCTGAGTCCTTTCAAAAGTACGTCCTCTATTTGTGGGAATATCAGGTTTCCTTCATGTCTCTGCCACCCCTCCCGGCTAGCGGGCCGCCCAGAGCCCAGAGCCCAGAGCCCAGAGCGTGGTCGCCTGGGTCACCGTCTGGGTCACCTGCACAGACATGATGGTGGGTGCCAGGGCCTGCCGCCTGGTGCGCTGGCTGCGGCCGCCGGGGCTGATTCCTGCCGCGCCCACGCGCCCACCCATCCTCGCCCGAGGCCGGGTCAGCGTGGGCGCCCCCGTGGGGCCGGCAGGGGCAGCGGTGCAGCGCCGGGGCAGCCCGCGTGTGTCTTGGTGCGGGGGTGGCCCTCCCCCGTACCCTGGTTCTCTGTTCTTTATCCCCGGGTTGATTTCCTAGTTTTCTTCCTTTGCATTTTGTGGTATTTCCTGATACTCCTTATTGGATGCTTTTTATTTTTTTTAGGGTTTTACAGAAGTAGCGGCTGCAGGCAGCCTGGGGCTCCGGCCGCCCGGTCAGGGCCCGCCGCCCCGCAGAGCCCCCCCCCCCGCCCGCGCCCGGGCCTCCAGCGGGGCGAGCTCGCCGCACGTGCCCGCGCGTGGCCCCGCCGAGAGGCTGGAGGCGCCCCGCAGGGCTGGGCTGTGCGCGCCGCCCTGGCTTCCCGCTTCTGCCCTCGGACCGTCCGCCACGGACACCGGCACCGGGCCCCGCTCCACACGCACAGCGGCGCCGGCGGGTCACGCGGCGGCCCCCCGCGGTGACGTCACGCAGCCCCGCTTCCGGCCGCGGCGGCCGCGCGCTCTCCCGCCAGGCGGCGCCGCGGAGCGTCCTGCGCCCACGCCGTCTGCGCAGCCTCGCGGGCGCCCGGGACACGTCACCGGCTTCGCGTCCTTTCTGGAGCGCGCGGGAAGGCGAGCGCGCGGCGGGGTGACGACGGCGGGGTTCCCCGCGCGGGGGGCGAGGCGGGGGCGGGGCCGCGGACGTGGCGCGCGGGAGGGCTGCGGGGGCGGAGGCGGGGGCGGCGGAGGCGGGGGCGGCGGGCTGACTGCGCCACACTCGCCTCGTGACCCGCCGCGAGGCCGGACGCGGCAGACGCGCTGACGGGGCGGGCGGGCGGGGCGGGGCGCGTCGCCGGGCGCGGCCGCTCCGACGCGGTCCTTTGCCACCGCCGCCCTCGGGCGGGCTCCGGGGAGCCCGGCGCCTCCCGACCCGCCGCGGCTGGGCCCCGACTTCCGGGCACCGTCGGGTCGGAGCCCGCGCTGCGGCGGCGCGTCCTGGGGACGGCGGCGGGGGCGCGGGCACGTGGGGTCGGGCGGCTCCCCGGCCGCGCTGGCCCCGCCCCCAGACGGCGCTGGCCCCGCCCCGATGGCCCCGCCCCCGGCCGCGCTGGCCCCGCCCCCAGCCTGCGAGCCCCGCGGCGCGGGAGGGAGGGGGAGCCGGGCGCGGGGAGGGCGCGGGGAGGGCGCGGGTTCCAGGCCCGGCCGCGGCTCGCCGGCTGCCCGTGTGCCGGGAGCGAGGCGTTCGCTTATCTCCAACGTCGGTGTTTTCCTCTAAAATACGGGCCGCCCCGCCCCGGATACGGCGGTCGGCCCCGGCGCGGGGCAGGTGATGGTCCGTCGAAATGTGCAAGTTGGTTTCCACGCTCCGCCCCGGCCCTGGCCCTAATCCCGGGGCCGGTAAGGACCGGGTGGCCCCGCCTGCAGGTCTTTAGGAGGCGGAGCTAACGTCTTCTTCAGCAGGCGCTCGCGGCCTGCCCGGCTTTGGAGGAAGACCCCCGCCCCCACCCTCCCACGCCTTGCACCCCCCCCCCCGCCCAGGGGTCACCCATGACCCAGTCGGTGGAACCCGGGGCCTCATGAGAAGGGGGTGTGCACTGGGGTGTTCCGCGGCCCGAGCCCCGGTGAAGGCACCTGCCCGACCCCGGTGAAGGCACCTGCGCACCCCCGGTGAAGGCACCTGCCCATCCCCCGGTGAAGGCACCTGCCGGACCCCTGTGAAGGCACCTGCCCGCCCCCGGTGAAGGCAACTGCCCATCCCCCGGTGAAGGCACCTTCCCACCCCTGGTGAAGGCAACTGCTCACCCCCCCCCCCGTGAAGGCACCTGCCCGCCCCCCCCACCCCCCCGTGAAGGCACCTGCCCACCCCCCCCACCCCCCGTGAAGGCACCTGCCCACCCCCCCCACCCCCCGTGAAGGCACCTGCCCATCCCCGGTGAAGGCACCTGCCCACCCCCCCCACCCCCCCCAACCCCCCACCCCCGGTGAAGGCACCTGCCCACCCCCGGTGAAGGCACCTGCCGGGAGCCCCGTGAAGGCACCTGCCGGGTGGGCAGCCCTGCCCCGGTGCCTTCTCAGAGTCCTGCTGTCAGGCGGGAGGCTGGGCCGGGCCGGCGAGCCCCCGCGGCTTCTGCGAGGCTGTCCTAACCGAGTAAAGACGCTGTGTCTCGTGGAAGGAGCACACCTGACGTATCCCCGGATGCCTGTGTAGCATGTGTCACCCGCTGTTAGGGTTTTGACAAGTCACCGTCTTGGTTTCCACCGCGGTGCCGCTAGGGGAGGTCCCGCCTGCACCTGGGGGGGGAGCTGCGTGCCCCCCAGCAAGGGGACGAGCCGGTGTGCGGGCGCCCCGGGGCCCCGTGCTGGGCTCTCCCCTGGGCTAGGGACGCTTGGGGCCCTGGGACACCCTCGGGGCACAGGTGAGGGCGGTACCCCCCTCCCCACCTCGGAAACCCCCCTCCCTGGCCATCAAGGCAAAACCAGGTTGAGGGACGGACAAAGGGCAGCATTTGTGGCTCCGAAGGCCCCGACGGCAGCAGGGGCAGCCTCCCCGCCTGGCCTCTCCCGGGTGTGTTCAGGGAGGGACTCCCGGACCGGACCGGCCTTTTTTTAGCTCCATCTGGCAGGAGCCACCTCCCCCTGCACCTGCTGCCGCCTCAACCGCTGCTCATTCGCAGTCGGCGACGCAGAAGGCAGAAACGTGGTGCCCGTGGCCTCCGGCCCTGACGTACGTGGGGTGGCGGCCGCTCCGCTGCTGCGGGTGGAGGCGGGACTGCGAGACCCGGAGGAAGGCAACAAAGGCAGAAATCCCGTGTCCGTTTTCATGGTTTTTTTTTCTTTTTATTTTATTTTATTTTATTTTTTCTTTTTAATCTTGAGCTTAGCTAGTGCAAAAGAGAGAACTTCAGGGTGAGGCGAGCTAATAGGGACCAGTCCCTAAAACCCCGGCGTTTGTACGTCAGCGCCCTGGCTCAGGGCGAGGCAGGTGGTTTCTGCTCGAGCGAGCAGACGGGCGCCTGGAGCAGGGCCACTGCGTAGGCGCTTTCGTTCGGTTTCCCTTTCCCTTTGCTGCCAAGGCCGTCCTCCTTCCTGCCCGACTCAGGGCGGGTCTCTGGGGACGGACTAGACGGCTGCGCATCGTCCAGTCGCAGGAACGTCTTCTGTCTGGGCGAGCACGGCCTGCGCGCCTCAGTGACGGGAACAGACGCCTCGCTGGCCAGGGAAATCCGCGGAGGGCCGATTAGCTACCGGGGACACAAGCCTTCGGGGTGTAAACGCGTCGCCTAAGTTTGAGGACACCCCGAACACTGACGGGACGACCGAGAGCGTCTCAGGGCGCGGGGGCTGGAAAGC